CCACAACATAATTTGACAAAAATTATTTAAATAACATTCAGATATCAACTGGCACTTCAAAATTCAACAGGTAGCTGAGTAGTTCAGCTGTAGACAGCAGGACATGATACAGCATTTTTAAATCATGGTGTGAGTTGCTAATATAGTTTAACCGCACTAGCCACAACCAGGAGCACAAACACACGTATGTCGTATGGACCTTATTGACAAAATAGGGTAGGAATTTTTACCTGTTTTTTTTTTCATTACTTTCAAAGAGGATTTAAGGAGACACTAAATTACTAATAAATGCTGTAGTAAATAAAGTAAAAATAATATGCTGATCATCATTTCTAATAAACTGTTTGATTACATTGTATTTAATTTTATGCATGTATATATCGGTAAAAATGCGAGTACTTTCAAAACTTAATTTTGTGATAAAATGTAATAACTATTATTATATAATAATTGTTGTCACAATTATTTAATTATTATATTGTATAATTTTCATTGCATGAATTCTAATATAATACTGTAATTAATAATTGTTATACAGTATAAAATCTGTAATCCGGACGTCCATTATCCAGAATGATCTATAATCCGGACCTCAAAGCCACAAACTTTTTTTTTTGTATGCTTTACGCACGCGCGTTTAATGTTTATGCATGCGCATTACAAAGCAACTTGAACAACTTACATTAAAAGAAATGTTTCATAAAGTAAACAAATATTAAGCTTTTTTTTTTTTTTTTTGTAAATTTTGATACTCTTTAGATCCTAATTGCTCTTTATTTCATAAATTACGGTTTCATATTTTTAATTGTGTAATTTCTGCATGCCATCTTACCAGATTTTTAAATTGATGATCTATAATCCGGAATCGCCGAAGTCCCGACGAGTCCGGATTACGGACTTTGTACTGTATATCTTTTATATTTTTGAACTAAAATGTATGCACATTAATACACATTGAAAAAATGAAAATCTGAAAGGTTTCAGATTTTAAATTATGTCCAAAGGAGTGCTTTTTGACATTTAATGTTTTACCTTTATTTATTAAAATCATGTTCTTTGCACTTAAACCATAAAATTCAGTTCAAGAGCAATATTGCAAAATAATTTTAAATTGAGTCTATCTTTAGAATTTCCGATACACAGTCTCGCGCGCGGGAGATAAAATTTTTATTATTATTATTATTTTTTTTCTGTACAACATTGCCATGGCTTGCTTTAAAATCCTTGAATATATTAATCAAAAATTCATTAAAGTTTTACAAACTGTGAAATAGATCGTAAAACAAATGTGAAATTTGGTTTTCCACATGCCCATATTCGTAGGAGGATTACGTCATTCAAAATTCGATGGCTCTATGTACCGTTGTTTTATCACAATACGAGAAATATACATACATTTATGCAGATTTTTCATTATTTAATTTCTTCAAATATAATGGACTCTAACATTTTGTGGCAACAGTTTGAAAAGTGAAATGGACATTCTGAGTGATTTGACGCAAAATCGCAAAATGAAAACAGCCTTGCCTGCATGAATGACGAAACACGAATTGAGTAATTGAAGAGTTAGGTTTGGAGGAAACTTCCCCTTGATAAGTCTGTCTCCTGCCTGCTCAACAATTATTCACTTATGCATTTAAAATTTTTTTTAGGGGTAAAATTTTTTTGGAATATTGTATTTATTCATGGAATTTAATACCTGCACTTATTTACATATGCTCTCAAAATTTAAATGATATTGTCGATTAGTTCGCAGCAATAATTAATCATTTATTTATTTACAATTAAAATTTCATAATTTAATTATCTTTAAATTTGCTTTTTATGAATAAAGAATGTTTGTTAAATTCAGTTATAATGACTATTATATTTCTCTTTGATTTTTGCACTAAAAAATCAAGTTTATTTTAGAAAAATAGAGTGAAGATAATTCTTGCATAAAAGCTCACAATTATTAAATTAGGATTGACTGCGATTTAACATAATCTCATGTCAGGGCAGCCCCCCCCCCCCACTCAAACGGGGTAGATTCCTGTTTTTTTTTTTTTTTTTTTTTTTCTAACTACAAGAAGAATATTTATTTGCTAGTTCCATTTATTTTAGTAAATATAGTTCTTTTTTTTAAAATCTTATTTTTAAACGAATGAATGAGTTTGTTCAACGTTCATGTAAAAGTCATCATTTGTGAAAAAATTTAATCATCTCTGGTTTTGAGCATATGAATGTGAATCTTTGCACTTATTTCGGCGAATATGAAATGTTGTCAGTTGTCCATTTACATCCCTCCTTCAGTAGTAAATTCTGTCTTTCCGGAGAAGATTAAACTTTCATGTGACCTCCTCACCCTGTGCATGTAATTAGCTATAATATAATGAATATTCTTTTTTTGGGCAATTGTGTTTTGGCAGAATGCCAGCCAAGGTTGTGTGTGATGTGGTCGAAATATAACATTATGGATTTATTAGTGATAAGTTCTGTTCTGTCTGTATTATAATGAACATAATTTGAGTTTCTGTATTATAAGACTTTTTGAGAAAGCAAAACTCATGGTTATTTGAACTTTTTGGCAGATTTTTCTTGATGGCAAGTTGAAACAGGGTGGCATTCATGGCTGCTTTGAGTTGTTATGGCGATCCAAACATCACCGAAATTGCAATGATTTCTTTTCTTAAACGAATATGGGTGCCTGCTCCACTAGTGGCTAAGTTGTTAAGACTACTGAATTGAATGCTAGTAGTTTGACTCAGGTTTAAATACTGGCAGATGAGCTGCATGTGTGTCTTTTGTGTTTTTCCCCATGTATAATATGACTGGGAGCCAGTTTCTCGTAGAGATTCCTCCGTGAAGGCCTTAGGCACATAGCCCTTGTTGTGTTTGCCATACCCAAATAACCTAACCTTACTGATATTTAGCAGAAGTTCAATAAATAAAGTTTTGAATTAGTGTAACCATTTTTTAGACTAGGATTTAATGGATTCAGATGATGATAAAAAGCACAATGAATGGAATTTTCTTAAGTAAAAAAAAAGGGGGGGGGTTCATGGAATTCGATGATTTGAATTTTCTATTCCTAATTATTATGAACATAAATGTAAAATTAACATAAATGCTGAAATATTTTAGCTTCTAATCTCTTGAACTTTTAATTGGAATGTGCATGGAAATTTCATTGCTGTGAGGAGACTGCAAAATATTAAAACAATAAATATTTTTACTTGTACAGAGTAAAGGATGTATCATATTCATGAAAAATTTCAGAGGAAATACTTGTTTTAACCGTTCCCAAATCCATTTTTGACTATTTCTATTGTGACATTTATTTATATGTATTCCACAAAACTAAAACGATATGCTGCGGAATGTTGAAATTTTGTATTTGGAATCTTCGACTAGTTTCAGCATGATGTCTGTACATATGTACCTCATGTAACCAAAAAACAGCCATAGAATGAATTAAAATTTGTGTAGCTACTGAAATTTGATGTATGGGATGGCTGTAATATCTAGTTGTGCATGTCTCTTTTTTATTGCAATCAGCAGTACCAAAAAGGCACTTTAAAGAGGAAGATTGAATCTCACTTTCAAATGAAATAAGTTTAAATAAAATGCAGCAAAAAAAGTGTATAATTTAATAGGCGTACAAAGAACTTGGTGTCCATATCAGAATTTTTTCATGTATCATGAATCAGTGAGGTAAATTCATGTGTGTATTGAATTAATGTGTAGCTCCTTATAATTAGCTTTTTTATTACTTTTTCTACAACTCGGTGTATAGTTCATATGATTAGTCTATGAGGTGCTTAACATAATCATGTCTGATATTGGCCTTCAAGAAGTATTAAAAAAAAAAAAATCATTCATTATGACAACATTAGAGTAAATTAGTTGCAGATATGGTTTAAATTAAGAAATGTATTAGTCAAAAACGGAAATAAAATGATTGATAATAAGAGGCACTTTGAATGGATAAACAAGCATTTAAATGCATGCATTAGCAAAATGAAAATGCATTACAAATTGAAAATGTGTAAGAACTAAAGTGGCTTAGTTAACGAATTGTAAATGATCAAACACATGTATTTTGCACATTCTAATGGATGAAATACAGCACATATGTATTTGAATGACAAAGCTATTATATAAATTTGATAAATACAACAGACATTGAGATATAGAGGTGTATGATTAATTATGGTTAAAATATATTAATAAATACATGTTTTTAGTTCAAAGGGGCAATTTGCCCTGAAGGACTTTTTTGTTTTAGCATTTTTAGTTGGTTAACTTTTCAAATTGTTGCCACCCAATATTAGAGCCCTGTATTATATTTAAAAAAGTTAAATAATGAAGAACCTGTATAAATGTATGTATTTTTCTCACATTGTGATAAAACAATGGTATCTAAAGCCGTACAGTTTTGAATAACGTACATTTCCACCTAAATATGGGCTTCTGGAAGACCAAATTTGGAATTTATTTTATTATTTATTTCACGCTTTGTAAATTTTTGATTAACAAACTCAATGATTTCAAAACGAACAATGGAAACACTGTATGGGGGGAGGAAACATTTTTATCTCCAGTATGTGAGACTGTGTATCAGAAATACTAAAGGTATGCTCATTTTAAAATTGCTTTACGATATTGCTGTTGAACTGAATTTTATAGTTTAAGTGTGAAGATATTTAATAAAGGTAACTCACAAAATGTTAAAAAAAACCCCTTTAGGCATAATGTAAAATCTAAAGCATTCAGTTTTTTTTTTTTTTTTTTTTATAAATGTATGCTTACTGCAAAAATGTCATAGCATCAGTTAGCAATGAATAAAAACAATGGTTAAAAAAAAAAAAAAAAGTATATTGATGCTTCTTTGAAACTCCAATATCAGAAGGATACTACTAATGGGAGAGTACTTCTAAATTTTAAGAAAGACTATTTTCATGTGCTTCTTCATTATAAAATGAAATTCTATAATGTGTTCTGTTTTTGCAATTTTTTAGGGATTTAGCGCATGACTGGAAACTTTCTCCACCCCCTTTTTACATCATTGGCAATCTACCATTTAATATCTCAACGCCACTTATAATTAAGTGGCTGAAAGATTGTTCTAAACATACGGGGCCTTTTGTATATGGACGCACGAGACTCTCACTCACATTTCAAAAGGAAGTTGCTCTACGAATGATTGCTCGACCCGGCTCAAGAAATAGATGCAGGTTGTCAGTTGTTTGCCAGTATTTATGCCATGTTAATCATCTCTTCACAATTCCAGGTAATTACTGAAAAAAATCTTTTCACTAAAATGGCATAAATATCTAATTATGCATAGCTTATCGTAATGAGGTCATTGATATTGCACTTAAATATTTTTTATTTTCATGCTTAAAAAGATTTCTAGCTTTGTTTTATTCAAAAGTACTATTAATTCTAATCTGCATGCATTTTAAACTTATGTTATTTAACTATATTGATTTTTTAAATATATGAGTTGAGGCATACCTTAAACTTGTAATGCTATCTAAAAATTATTTTCAAGTGTTGAAATGCATGCACAGGAGGAATGCTTGTTGATGTTGGAAAGACATATTTCCATGCACATATTTTTAAATACTTCTCAATATGGGAAAAACACGCTTTTTTTTTTTTTTTTTTTTAACAGAGATCTAAACTACTTAATGTATATGATTATGCTGGATATTACAGATCTTTAAACCTAACTAATTAGATACTGTAATGTTTAGCAGTAGCTGTGCTACAGTAAATGATAGTTGTACAGTCAAAAGTTGTTAATCTGGACTCTTCGGGACTTCGGCGTTTCCGGATTATAGATCATCAGTTTAAATCTCGTAAGATGGCATGCAGAAATTCTAAAATTAAAAATATGAAACTGTAATTTATGAAATAAAGAAAATAATGATCTAAAGAGTATCAAAATTTACAAAAAAAAAAAAAAAAAAAAAAAAAAAACTTAATATTTATTTGTTTACTTTATTAAACATTTCTTTCAATGTAAGTTGTTTAAGTTGCTTCGTTTTATGTGATAATACTTTCTCTTTAATTCTGTTTTATGTGATAATACTTTCTCTTTAATTCTATAAACAGACAAGTTCCGCTGTTCAAGTCCCGTAATTGCTGTGCCGAGAATACCGACTAAATTGTCGATCGAAATTTTTTCGTTTTCAATAACCTCTCTGTCACCTTCTTCATGTCTTTATCCATTTTTTGCAGCAATTCCACTTTTTGTTTGATGGACACGAAACATACTTTCATTTGTAGATCCTTTTGGAGCTCAGCATCGGAAATTCTATTTGACATAATCGAAAGTTCAAGTTTACTTTTATAAAATTGCTCTTACAGTCTGAAAAAAGTAATAAGCCGGATCCATTCAAAGATTAAGGAACAACGCAATCATCAACATTAACCCTCTGGCTGCTCATCCCGCAATTTCAACGGGCAACTCAAATGTAGCAAAATCTGCTCATCCTGTGGACATGTGTTTTTCTTCCTTTATTGAGGAGCGCTTCCCGTTTTTTTCCCGTTTAACCATTGAAATAAATTACATACAGTATTTGACGTATAGTTTACGTTTTGGCCAACATATATCGTTAGTTGTCCACTAAATTGCGGGATTTGAAGGTACGTGGTATTACAGCTCAAACTTCACTTTTTGCCGCATTTTTCTTACAGAAATGGCTGCTAAAAAACGTTCAGCGATTATCTTGATTATTTAATAAAATTGTTGAATATTAATTCGATTTATTGATTAGCTTTATAATTAAATTGATTATTAATTAGATTTATTGAATCTGGCGTGAAGACTGTGAAGTTGGACTTTGCCTTGAACCCTGTTTTGAACTCTTTCGTACTAAACTGCATTTCTAAGGTATTTTTTCCTCAGTGCTTCATATTTTCGTAAAATTTATACATTTTACTTTTTTATATTATGTAATAAATAGAAATTAACTGTAATTCGATTGAAATTTATTAAAAAAATTTATTTTTTTATTTATTATTATTATTATTATTATTATTTTTTTTTTTTTTTGCTGATAGCAACTGAAATTGGTTTTTCTGGCATCTTAGTTTCTCATGATAAAAATCTACATAAAAGTGTTTTCTAGAAAGAAAAAGTGCATTTTTCAACTTTCCAATATATATAGATTTAAAATATGAAAAAAAAAAATTACACATTTTTTTAAGCAATTTCGTTCTACAAATTGAGCAGTCAGAGGGTTAACTGAAATAGATAATTTTAGCTTATACCGTCCGTTATACATTAAACACGCACGAAAAAACGTATTCTGCACTTGCGCACACGCATATGCGCAGTCTTACGCGCACGCATAAACGCCTATGCGCATGCGCAGAAAGCTGTTAGCTTTGAGGTCCGGATTATAGATCATTCCGGATTATGGGTGTCCGAATTAACGACTTTTGACTGTATTACTATTTGTAACATAATGTAGACTATACTATATAGTGAGCTATACTCATTCATTTATTCATTATGAAATCTTCACAATGAATAAATAAAAGGACAATACATTTCGTTTTTATATAGTAGTACCATAATATTCAGATGATACTTTTTAGGACACATTTGAAATATTTATGTATCCACTAAACATCTTGCAGTTAAAGTTTTTAGTTCATTCAAAAGGGGAGGGGGGAGTTCAAATCTAACACTATCATAAATTTACTCAAACTTGTTACTGCATCTGGAAGGATGTTAAAATATCTCAAGCATTTTTCAAAGACTTTATCAAGAGCGAAAGGGAAAGCTAAGTATTTAATTATTTTAGCTAAAGCCGTACAATTTTTGACTAATCCTTGGAATATGGTAACAGGTAGTTTGGCGACATTTTGGTACGGCGATAAAGGTTACTAGCTAGGACTTTAGCAGTGTACATGGATAAAGTCAAGAATGTGCGCAATGCCATTTTTGTGCAATTCTGGGATTTTTTTAAAGTGAAAATAGGTCGACGTGTACATGGATACCGTGTATGTACAATTCTTAAAAACGCGGCAAGCAGTTTAACATTCTGCACTTTCTCCCAATTTCGCACCTAATCTTCGTCATGATTAAGCACTTTTGTTCTATAAAAGTTCTAGCGTAAGTGTAATTCGGCTAGCAGATTGTTGAAAAAAAATTTTGAGTTTAAAAAAAAAAAAAGAACGAGTTTACTTTGTGCAAACAAAAACTAGCAGGTTGCTGTAGCAGGGTTGGTCGCCAAATATTCGCCAAGTTACCATAATCCAAAGATTAACCTTTTTTTTTTAATGGGTGGGAAAAAAATTCTTCCTGAAAGTAAAAGAATTCTGCTGATAGGGATGTAAGAACATCAGGTCTTGTTAAAATCATTACTGATATTCAAAATTTTGGAAACAGTGAAAGACAGAAAACCAACTGTAGGAATTAGACAACGAAGATTCTTCAAGTTTAATTACATCAAGATCTTCTGAATGCTATGCCAATAATTAAATTAATTAATTCAGTTTTAAGATATTGATTCAAACAAAATATTTCTCTGTATGCAGAAATTAGAACTATGCAATGAGATCTTAATACTTGAACCAAATCTCAAAAATGTACACTTTTCCCCCATCATTTTACACTAATTATATTCTATCTTAATTTGCATGCTTCCAGTTTTTATATATATATTGCTGATCTTTGATTTTCTTTAGCAGAAACATTTGAGGCCTTTTATTTTTTTCCATATTTAAAACTGCTAATTCTTATGCATTAAAAAAACATTATACATCCGTCATAAGAATTTTTTCTTCAGATTAGAAGAAAAAAATGCAAATGTAAAAATTTTTTGCCTAATTTTAACCCTTTGAGGGGCGGTATATAAAATAATTTAAACTGTGGTAAAATTTTGCATGAACTATAACTTATGGATCCTAAGGACACAAAATTGAGACTTAAAAAAATTCTAGAGCGAAATCCTGAATTTTGAGAGCCGGTATATATTTTATACCGGCGCCCCTCTAGGACATTTTTTTTCCAGGTAGTTGCCAACTGTTAATCTTTGGTTTTTAAATTAATTTTGGGTACTTTTGATGTGCGTCTGTAGTGATGAGTGCTTGAATATAGTTATGTAAGTCTAAAGACAAAATTTTCTTAAATTACGGCAGAAATTTAAAATTTTAAAAATAAAATTTATGTTTTTATGCCTTTGATGATGCAACCCAGCTGAACATACTTATGAGTAAAAAGCTCTTCAACTTGATTTAAATTCAATATTATTTTATAAAAAAAATTTAGCAAATATAACACTGCATGTGTAAATCGTATCATGCTGTAACTGAACTAGTATGATATTACAAGCAGATGTAACTCAGCCGAAAATTAAAAAAAATTGAAAAATGAAGCACTACGACCGACTCAGCTGAGAAAGTATGTTGCATTTTTGAAGTTGTATTTTATGCTTTAGATAATATGTGAAAAAAACCATGCTTCATACTATGATACGAAGAATTGCCCCCCCCCCTCTCCACGCACACACACTTTAGATCACGGAGGACCGTAAGGGTCCCTTTTTTATTTTTTGTAAATATAGGTTGTATTATATCTTTTGTTCAGGAAGAAACACGTTAAACAATTTTATTATTTGATACACCTCAAAGCTTTATTTCTGATTTTTCAACCCGTTTGGCTTCATAGGGGATCCTTTTCAACTTTTGGATAAATTTTGTTTGCATCTAAAACGGGGCTTAGAAATATTTTTCCTCCTTTCACCAACTGTGAAAATTTATTTCCGAAACAACCTATTTGTATCAACCAGAGCGCAAATTTCTCTTGTGTTCTCTAGTCTTTCATCTGAAATTAACAAAGAATTAAAAAGAATTTCCCTAAAGAATAAAAGCATGCTTTCAAATCAGCAGTTTTTGTGATTACACTATGAGATGGACCTTAAGTACATTTCCATTTTAAGTGAGCTTTCCCTTTGTGTGATCTTATCGCACTTCACAAAGGGAAGAAGGCCTGGCTCCCGAAAGGCAAATTGGTTGTCAATCACCTCTTTTCATTTTCTTACATTCTAGGATTTTGGAAAACAGGAAGCAACAGGTGTCTTTTGGGGGCTAGCATGCCATGTTTAACCCCCACAATTGTGTGAAGTTTTGACCCCAGATGGCAATTTTGAAATCGATGAGTCTTTCTCTTGGGAAAGAGATAAGTGCTGAAATAAAAATTTTAGCTAAACACAGACGAATGAAACTTGAGCTGAGTACACAAAGAATAAATGAAACTAATATACTTGTATTCAGTCCTAGCGCAGGGTCAGAAAACTCCCCATTCCTCCATGAACATAATATTTAATCCTAAACGACTTATAAGTTAATCATGAAATATTATTACATCATAAACTGTTATAATAATAAAGAAATTCTGTCACGTCACAGAGTAGAAAAGGAGAAGACTGGTGCTGCCATCTATTGGCGTGGTACCCTCAGTGTGGGCGCCGGTATATATTATATACCGGTTTTAAAATCGTATAAAATAATCTGCTGTTAATTATCACTTCTGACTGAAATGAAGTAAATATATAAGATTAAGCATGTGTACGTCATAAATTTGCAGATTTTGAATTTTTTTTTTCCCTCCAATAGAATTTATCAATCTTCCAACATGATACCTTGGAATGACGTATATTAATTTCATAACTGTAAAATATTGAGCATTCATAGGGTGATGTTGCCATTTAGAATCGAAAGAAAATACTAGTCACTTATGATTATAGCTTTTGGTGTAGAAAAATTAGCATTTTTTCGGAGGTTAAAAAATTGACAAACAACCGGTATATATTATATACCGGTGCCCTTCAAAGGGTTAAATAGTTATTCTTTAAGGTCTGTCTATATTTCTTTTATATTTTGTGAACTGCAGTGAAACTTTTTACAACAATTGCCTGCTTAAAATTACCATTTCTGAAAACATAATTAAATATAGATACTGAATATTATATATTATCTTATATAACTACTGAAGACCAAAAGCATCTGGGACATTGGTTGGTTTTAAGGAGGTTTCAACTAGCTACAAATAATCCTTTTTAAAGTTTTTCTTTCCTACAACGCTTGTACATTTTCTGTTTAAATAAAGTATAAAATTTATTATTATTCTTTTTTCAGAAAGAAAATAATAGTTAAGGTAACTCGCATTTCATTATATTCTGCAAGTATATATGAAAAAATAAATAAATTTTCATTTGAAATTAAAGAAAACCTATCATTCTATCAGAATATAGAATAGAAATTCTTATTTTTTAAACTAAAACTGCTCTAGCATTCAGTATGAAATAGCATATAGAATGTATACACACTTTTTTTTAAATCAATAAATTAAAAAAATTAAAAAAAAATTAATACATATTTAAAAATTGTAGTAAATAGTATCGTCATCCATTCGAAGAGCAAATTATTTCCTTTCTCCCGTTGTTTAAATATCAGTCTTTGTGATTTGATTTTGAAATTTATTTTACAAGCTACAAAAAATACAATTTTATGGAGTTAGTTTTATAATCCATAAAAATGGAATTTAATTCCAGAAAATAATAAGAATTAATTTCTTTTCTCATAACATGTATATTTTTCATTGATTTCACATTTTTTTTTTAAAACTAAGATGTTAATAGAAAATGGTGCATTTATTTTGCTTTGCTATTTATCTAAAGTGGATTTTGATTTTTTTTTTTCCTAAAATAATTTTAGATGAATAATGTGCATCTTTCAAATGTTTGATCTAATTAATCAATTTAGATTGCAAGTCAGGAAAAGTCGAGTGCTAGTTTTGATTCGTGGTGCTATATATATATACCTGATTGTATACTTGTATATTTTAGTAACTGTAATGTTTCATTTTTGAATTTCACTTTCTTGTTCATATTTTGTTTTGGTACTTTTCCCTTAGCTAGGTGCAAATGTTGGCAATAGCAGATTTTTTAAAAATTATTCACACCCTTGTTAAACTGCCTATATATATCGTAAGAAAAACATATTAAAAAAATAAAACCTTTCATTCATTTAATTTAAAAATTGAAAAAAGAAACTGTTTTTATGAGTAATAATGAAATTAAACTAATTTAAACGCACTAGAATGTTTTTAAATAATGACATGTCAGTTGTTAGAAATCGATGTGGAGAATGACAGGAAATGTTTGCAGTGTCAAGTGATAGCAACTGAAACAATATTTAGTGATGTATCAATCGGTGTCCAGCTAAAGTACCATCGCTTTTGTTGTAGACTGTTATGTTTGTTGTGTTATAATCATTCATTCCTGAAGATATGAGACATTCCTAATCTATTTCTCGGAAAGAATTTTTTTTTTCTAGTTTGTGTAAATGCCAAATGGCACTATATTATTTGCCTATTGTCATGACAAACTTTTTAAATGTTTCTGTTTTTAAGTACATAATTAATATATGCAATAAGAAAAAGATTATTCAAGATTGTGTTGCATTATTTGTTTTCTAGGAAGAGCATTTTTCCCCAAACCTGATGTAGATGTTGGAGTTGTTAAATTCACACCCAGAATATTGCCACTTATTAATCAACCATATGATCTTGTGAAAAAAGTAGTAACACACATTTTTCTTCATCGTCAAAAGTATTGTTTGTATGGATTAAAGTAAGTAAAATATTTTGAGTTTTCTATACAGATCCAATTTAGTATTGTCATGCGCATGTTTGTAATGGATTGAATACATGCAAAACCAATGATAGCTTGATAAAATTTATTTTTCAAAAGAAACACTTCACAGTTCTGGAACTTTATATAAATCTACTTGTTTGAGTATGACAGAGCAGTTACAACTTCAAACTTAAATGTGCAGCTGAAGAGTGAAGCCCACATGGTCTCGTATTCCACTGGTCACTGCGAAATTTCTAGTACCTTCCATTTTTCAAAATTACTGAAAGGTATACAGTAAGGTGATTTTAAATTCTTTTTATAAATTAAGAGGTGATAGTACCCATCCAGACGAGCAATAATTACCATTAGGAAAACTCGCAGAAAGTGCTCAAAATGCCGACCACGCATCGTGTTGTGCAGTTGACATCGGCGAATGAGGTCCGGTGAGTGAGGAGGCGAAGCCGCAGGTTCACCATGTCTGATCCATCGTGTAGGATATGTGGCATTCAAAAAGTTGTAGGCCGTAATAGAAAAATGTTCTGGGGCTCTCATCATGCATAAACAACAAGTCTCTGTGAATGAGGTTGCAATAAACTGCGAAACACTTGTTACATCGGTCAAACGGTCTGGCATGATGAGCCTACCAGGTAATCACGGAAAATAATATTAATGTAGGAGATAATGGATAATCATTCCAAGCATCCACTGCACAAAGTCTGCCTGGCAGGGATAATTACACTTTTTGCATGTGGTAGGGTGCATGCTTCTGGCTGAGAAATAACCATTTCATATGCCACCACTTGCGTACTTGTGGAAGGAGCTGCTTCATATCTAGTCAAACTCCCTCTTCCATTTCTGGTGTTCATGCATTTTGGGGATGTCTTGCATTGCTTTTTGAGATGGTAAATGGTTTCTTGGAGTCTTCGATCAACACTGAAAAACGGTTGGATGACTTGTGTGACGAGTTAGAAACCATTTTTTGTACAATCTTCATGCCTGTCCATTCCCTTTTGCCTTTCAGGTATGTGAGGTGAATATCTGTTAATTCCTCATACGTGTACTTCGCTACAGCATTCACGCTTGAAGCGATGATGTGTCGATGTCTGCTTTTCAGAGTGGAATGCAATCTCACGTTCTATGGTAATTATTGCTCGTCTGAAGAGGTACTATCACCCCACCCCTCTGAATTAGTAAAAATAATTTAGAATCACCCTGTAATATGGTTAGTCACATATACTGGTTATCATTAATTAAGGAAAAATCACAAAACTGACAATTATTTAGTTGCATGTAAAATTTAATGAAACTGACCCACATTATACAGCACATAGTAAGGTATAAAATAATACATGGAATATGGAGAAATTACTAAACAATTATAATGTTACAAATTTGATGTGTCAATTTGTTATAGGAAAATCACCTTCCATTATGCGAGTCCTGGGCGGTCTGGTGTTGTCGTCCTATAGCAGAAAATCATCTATTGCCCCAGCATATATCAACCTCTATAGGCATTAATGGGTTCACGTGGAAAGACTTGGAAGTCTCTGCAAAGAGATACAGCCCCAAACATAGACACTGCCTCTTCTATATGAATCTTTTTCATGGATAGTTGACGATAACATGTTCCAGGTTCTCGCTTTGGAGGTTAAATCATTGAAGAGAACTGCTATCCGTTGGACATGTTGACATACCCCTCTCAAATGTTCCCTTCTGTGATGTGAGTAGCATGTAAATGGATCTTCGTGAAAGCTTTTATGCATGCTTGATGTTGACACCAACTTTCCAGTGACTGCAACAAGGGAGGATCTGAGTTGAGTTGCAGTTCTATTCTTTTCGACGCATAACAAATATCGGTCATCGATGCTCGCCGTAGCAGTTGGCTGAACCTCCTGGATGTCAAATCTGGTTAGAAATTGTTGCCAAAGTCTACAAACCACAGAAGAACTCGTATTTAGCCATCTGGCCACTTCCGTCTTTGTCCTAAATGATGCGTGGAGTTTATTGTTATGAATTGGCTATTCCAGATTTCTTATCTCAATATCACAGCGAAATCTTGCAGATGATGTATTCAGATTGCAGTGCCTCTAATTTGCATACTACACTTTTATTCAGCAACTCTTATTTTGCAACATATTTAAGTTTTGCTTGGATTGGCTTTTTTTTTTGAACAAATTACCACTATTGTGATTTTTCCTTAGTTTTTGGAAAATATATGAGGATCAATTAGTTATACAAGGAAAAGATCAAAGTGTTGCCAAATTTGGTGGCATTATCTTAATATAAGGTGACCAGATTTTCCAAAGGGCAAAGCAGGACGCAGGGATCTAAGTGTCGGTGGGAGATGGTAAAAGCCCCTTCTGAACGTGAAAATACGGAGTGCAAAATTTTTAGTGTAAAGAATTACCTGTCATTTGCGAATTAGCATGTGTGTTAAACACTCTATTATTGAAAGAAAAAATATAATTTATCCATATCTGAGACTGAATTAATTATAAAATCAACAATCACAGACTTTGGGATTTGGACTGAGACAACTCAGACGCCCTTTAAGTAAGAGCGAACAAAGAATAAAAAAAAAAAAAGCATTCGGAAAATAAAAGTTTGTAACTCTACCTTACTGCTTGAATATGTCCATCCAGCACATGAAGCCACAAATGCATTAATTCGACTCGGACGATAGGCCTTCCTGATCAGCTGCTGACCTAGAAGGATCATCCTGTGTTGGTGCTCCGTAGACGTATTTCATTGATGAATGAATGCTTCTAAGAAGTTTCACCTCTTGTAGAAGTCTTCCATAGACTTCATCACAGGAACTGTCAAACACAAAATTGCCACTTCATCATTAAACATTGCTTGTAGTGTTTCCACTTTAAACTGTGTCTTTTCAGTTTTTATATGATATTCATAGATGAGAAAACTCTTTCATTGGCGGCATTTGTCCCACAGTTTTCTGGATTTGCGCATGGCACGTTTTTATCCTTGAATTGATGAAAAATTTCAGCTCATTGACAGTCGAGACTAGTTTTCTCGCTTTTCCAATCTGCAATCTTTTGTGGTGAAGTAAATCGCCTAATGTAGGCTTTCTTCTTGAAATAACTCGTTATTATCGATGTCAAACTTCGAAATCTTCCACCCAAAAAGTTGCATGCACTCTTGTACTTTTTTGCACTTTCTCTTGTACTGTGTGCAGAATTGCTACTTGAAACACCACAGCGATATCATATACGAAATAAAGCCACAATTCAGCTCAGGGATTCTCAAAAAGGTTGCGGATTAGAGTGGGGCACTTCCCTTCCAACAAGAAACAGGATTTGAGTGCAGGAAACAATTTTAAAACTCTCTCTACTGCAGGCATCAGTGATAACATCTAGTTTTCCCATATCCTAAAATGCGCTGGTACTCTACACAGGCAAAGTCATAAAATTCTTTGAATGACTCAACATGAACAGTGTAGATATGGAAATAATAATAAATTTTCATGATAACTGCTTCCACATCAATTTGTAAGCAATCTCTTGCTTTCTGGATTGCGTTGTGGACGATATGAGCAGCGCAACCAATACCTAGCAGTTTCCTCCCAAGAATGTCACTCACATAAGAAAAAAATAAATAACCACCGAAACACGACAATTGCGCGCACAAACCACCTCAGCCAAAGAACATCTATGTAAGAAGAAAAGGTTCCACAGAATTTAATATAAACCAGTTTGCTATTACGTCACTGGAAGTGAAGAGACAATTTAAACTCGGATTTTCACACTTTTTTTTGCTCAAAATAACTAATCCAATAATTAATTTACTTGTGCGAAAAGTATTTTCTTTTCCTTTAAAAGCTTAAAGAAATTTAAAACGGTATTCATTTTATGGACTTTTATGGAAGGTAAACGCGAACTTCAACGCCAGCTTGGAGTTTCGGTGACAGATATTTCGCGCATACTGTTTCTTTGCCTTAGCCACCAACGCTGTTGCCACCTGCGTTTCCGAGTGATGACATTATAGCTTTATCGGAAGCAGCATCAGCAAGGCGTCACCAATGTGCCGTGGCATCCAAATGTATTGACGTTAAGTCTTTTTTTGCAGAAAAGCGGGACTAACAGGTGTCCCACCGGGACAAGCGAGGGACCTCGGGACATGAAGTATGAAGTCTGGACTGTCCCGCCTAAATCGGGACGTCTGGTCAACTTACGTCACCACCTTGGGGATATTTCGCGAATTTAACGAGATAACCATTTACCTCAATATTAGATTTGCCCTTGTAATCTTATTTTTGGTAGAACTTTGCTCTCTTCAGACTTTTCATGTTACATAAAGTAACACAAAAGATACTACAATTTTAAACATATCATCATAAATTTATATGTATAATTTTATTTATTCATTAACAGTATATTTCTTATTTGAAATTATTAATTTTTCAGGTTGTTATTCCCTAAAGAGAGATTAGATTTGGTTAATGAAATTATAACAAGTACTAGGATTAATCCAGAGAGAAGATCTTTTCAACTAGAGAATGAGGAATTTGCTGCTATATGTGATGTATATAGTCATATATGTGAAGAAAATGAAGATCTGCGTGACTATAATTTTGTGGAAGACAAAAAGAGGAAACTAAGACTTCGAATTAATGAAACAGCTGTAGAAAATGAAAGTGAGTCACTGTTATAATAAAATGTTATTAAAATAATAATGAGTAAAATTTATTTTGTCCAACTTTATTAGGGTGATAGTAATTAAAGTTCCAATTTCAAAATGCTGTATAGTCAGAATAACCTAAATATCCACAAAGCTATGGAATTTTGTTTCCCAAAGAGGGAAAAAATACAAAACACATTCATTAAACATGGGAATTCTGCTTGCTGGAAAGGAAAAAATTAGCTGCCAGGTCATGTGCAAAATTAACATACACACCACACACACTCTACATTCAAGCATCTCATCATAACTGTGTCACTGAAGTATTGTGCTCTGTTTTGCATCCTGCCATGGCAATAAGCTTTCACCCTGCAATTTCTTGCTTGGACAGAGATGGTACCTTGTTTTTGACAGACTTAAATGCACTGTCAGTATGCAAAATTGCAAAAGTTGGGTAAATGAGAATCTGTTCCAACTGCAAAGATCACTATGTGGTATGATTTTATTACAGTTCTTATCATTAGTCTATTCTTTATTGAAGAGCAAGGTTCTGTTACCTGTTTTGTCACTGGCAAATGATACGAGGGTTGGAATTTTAATAGTGGCAACACAGCTGAAAAAATGCTACGCAGCAAAACCAAAGAATATCGCGTATACCACACGTGAACTACATACCTACCTTACCTCTCAGCAAAAAGACTTGTCCTGCCTACGTCACGTGCATGCGGAGTGATGTGAAGAATGAATCCTTGTATTAGCTCGCGGTTTAAGTAAGTGTTGTTAGGATGTTTTCAAAACAAGAACAACGACGTTGGATAAAAATTGAATGTGCCAGAGGTCGTACAGCACGACAATGTCATCAAGTGCTTCAAGAGGCTTGCGGGGAATCTGCATTGCCTTACAGAACCGTAGCAAGATGGGTGAAAGCATTCAAGGAAGGACGCCAAAACGTGGCAGACATGCTGCGGCCAGGTCGTCCGAGTGTCAGCGATGCAGATGTGCGAGCTGTTGCCGCACTAATGGACAGTGATCGCCGCCAAACGATTCGTCAGCTGGCCGGACAAACAGAATTAGCGCATACGACTGTGCTGCACATTCTGAAGGAACACCTGCCCACGAGAAAAATTGCTTCACGATGGGTTCCACATGAATTGACGGAAATGCAGAAATGGCTACGCTACGATGATGCCCGAACCCACCTGGAGCGCGAAGGAGATGCTTTTTTACGCCGTATCATTACGCTGGATGAGACTTGGGCCGGATAGTACCAGCCAGAACTGAAACGCCAATCAAACGAATGGCGTCATCACGGGTCACCACAACTTTCGAAATTTCGTCAGAACCCCAGCAATGTGAAAGTTATGGTGATTCTCATGTACGACTGTGATGGTGTCATCCTAACGCATACCGTTCCCCCACAGCAGACCGTCACTGCGCTAGTGCTCATTTTTGGAGCACAATCTCCGACCAGCTTCGAGAAAAAAACGGCGACACTTTCTGCAGAACGCTTCTCTCATTTTGCATGACAATGCTCGGCCACATGCAGCGCAAGCTGTGACTGATTTGTTCAAGGGATGGGCTGGGAAGTGCTTTACCATCCACCATACTCCCCAGATCTAAGCCCTTGTGACTATGACTTTATTCCTAAGATGAAGGAACCACTTCGTGGCACTCGCTTCCAAACTCTTCCTGAGATTCTTGCGGCAGTAGACCGGTCCATTCAAACTATCAACAAAACAGGCGCTGCTACAGGTATTCTGCGACTTCCACATCGTTGGAAACGGGTTGTACACAATGCTGGCGACTATATTGAAGGATTGTAAAACATGGTGACATGAATTACTTTTGTATTCCTTGTAAATAAATAGTTGCCACTATTAAAGTTCCAACCCTCGTATGTATCTCTCTTGCACAACCACATCATTTCGGCAGTTTAACAGCATTAGTGTATTGGATAACACAATTTTATGCAATTGTCATTTTCCCCTCCAGCCCTTCAATTAACAACATTCCCCATGTTTGACTGCATTACATTAAATAATAAACAAGGATAAAAATAATCATTTTTCTTCCAACAGCGATTGGAGTGCATAAAAGAGCTGAGATCTTTGATACAGAGTGACTATTTTCATTCTTGTTAACATTGGTCTGAAACTAGCATGCCGATGTTCATGACTGCAACTGCTTATTTTCAACCTTGTGTTATTTTTAATGCATTTCAGAACACAAGGCCGTGAACAGGTTTATAAAACAAAAGGGTGTTTTTTTAGTTTTGTGTGTTACCGTTATTTATTAAATATCATGTTCTTCACCCTTAAACCACATAAAATTCAATTCAACATCTATATCACAAAATATTTTAAATTAGCATAGCTTTAGAATTTTCGACAAGCCTTTTGGGCTGGAGATAATCCCCCTCCCCTCGTATAGTATTGTGATTGCTTGCTTTGAAATCGAGTTTAATTAAAAATTTGTTACAAAATATGAAATAGAAAATAAGTTCCCAACTGGACATACTTGAGTGGAAGACTACATTATTCAAAATTTGGTGGCTTTAGGTATGGTCATTTTTCACAGTGCAGATACTTCATTAATTTCTTTAAATATAATGCAGGGTTTAATATTTGGTGGCAACATTTTGAAAAGTGAAATGCAATTTATAGTGAACCAAGGCAAAATGCCAAAATGAAATTAATAGCCTTTCTGAGCAAATTGGCACTTTGGGCTAATAAAGGTAACATACAAAACATTAAAAAATGTTAATCTGAAAAACATATTATAAAATCTGAAAGCTTTCAGAGTTTTTTAAATTACTTTTTAAGTAACAGCAATTCAAAAAATTATTATTAGGTTGCCCAGAAAATAATGCAGGTTTTTTACTTATATCTTTAAAGTATCATAACTTATCCCCAAAACAATTTTTCAACGAGATATAAGTTTATGTTGGTAGAACAAAATTCTGGACGCAATAAAGTCAAAGGCATTTTTGGCCTCGTCTTGGTTTCTGAAGCATTTCTTCTGCAGAATGTTATCCAGATGTTTGAAAAAGTGATAATCGGGCGGCGAGATGGAGGAAGAGGGAGTGTCTCGTATCCCAATTTGTTCAACTTCTGTAGGGCTAGTTGCATGACGTGCAGCTGAGCATCGTCGTGGAGAAGAATTGGGCCCCTTTCTGTTGATCAATGCCCGTCCACATGCGTTGCAATTTTTGGTGCATTTGGTTGATTGGCTGACAGTACATCTGTCCAGATTTAGGAAGCTGTGATGCGTTTCACCTACATTTAGAGAGCTGTGATGGATGAGACTGGCCGCATACCGCCAAACAGTCACCATAATTTTTTTTTGGTGCAAATTTGACCTTGGAAAATGTTGTGGTGTCTGACCGCGATCAAACTACTGAGTCGAATGTCCCCAGTTAGTCACCACCGAATCTACTTTTCATCGCACGTAACACTTCGATCAAGTAAAGAGTCGTTTTTGTTGCGGAGAAAAAGAGCATACGACACTTCAAATGACTATTTTTTAAAATTTTCTCTCAATTCGGAGGCACCCACTTATCGAGCTTCTTTGACTATACGATTCAAGTGATCAGAAATCTCTGCTTACGCCAAGCTTCTCTGCAAGCTCTCGAATAGTTGTGCATGGGTTTGTTTCAACTAGTCTTCAAATCGTCAACGTCAACAGCTCAAGAGTGTCGACGACACTCTTGATCTTCCAGGTCAAATTCTCCATGACGAAACCTTTGTTACCACCATTGAACTGCAGATTCATTAACACTTTTTTCACCCCATATTTCGTCGACATTTCGAGTCGTTTGTGCTACACTGCAGCCTAACTTGTACTCATAAAAGTAAATTTGCTGAAAATCTCGTTTTGACATCTAAACAAAAACACCTGACAAATATTTTTAAAAATAATTTTGGAACAAAATGATTATAAGTATATAGAGCCTCAAAATGCTAAAAACAAACAATTGCAAAAACCTGCATTATTTTCTGGACAACCCGGTGTAACCAGTTTGTTAGAAAGATTATTGCATTACTACTTGCTGTACATGTACAATTCCAGAATTAAGGGTATAGTGTCAGAAAAGACGATTAAGTTTACAATATGAACTTTTTTTTTCCAATTATTTTCTCCCTTTCAATTTTTAGTATACTCTCATACAATCTGATGCTCATGCATGAGCATTCAGATTGTTTATCATTCAGCAGGCACAAAAACGGTATACACTTTTTTTTATAAATCTTCTTGATAGGTTTCTTCTTGACTGGTTTTTAAACCAGTAAATGCCAATTGCCATAGATTGGTTAGTTTTGTTAATTGATTATTTTCCTGATCCTCAAGTAAACACATAAAACTTTAAACTAAAATAGATAACAAGATTAATTCATGCAAAATTTCCTGGATAGCTAAATTATCATTTTCAATCAGTAGCTGGACATCAAGTAGTCATCACTTACTCAAATTGGTAACAGGAGGGTTTGCAGACAACATCCATCTATTACATCTAATTTTGTTAAACCGTTTTGCTCTAAACCACAGTTTGGATCGCAAGAGTTAAAAAAATGCATCATCAAAGTATACCTTTCAAACTGGTTACAGGAGAATATGTTTCTAGGATGCCTGTGGCATCTCATATCTCTTAATACAATAACTTATAGCAATGCAATATGAATTATTTAAGACTGCAGTATATTTCACATTGCAGGATTTTAAATTGTTTTAACATGCTTTTATTAAGGAAAATTTCATTATTAATGAATTTTGAGAAATAGCAGGGAGATTTTTGCTTTTCATACTTTTTTACATGAAAATATGACAATATACACAATAAACCCCCTTCACATGAATTCACGTAATAATGTTAACCTTTGATTAACATTAACTAAATTTTGGTCCTGGCAGCAATGTACATAACCTTAAGGAAATTTTATCAGTTAACTTAAATTACCAACTGATTTTTAGTCTACTGTGTCATTAGATTTTATAATTTAACACAAACTTTCAGCATTTTCTCTGCTAAAGCTGCATTCTGAAATGTTTTGTCTCATTTAATTGAAAACATAACAAAATACAATGCTTTCTTTAAAACATAGCCAGGATGAGTAACAATGCTCGACAATCGCAATCATTGCATCAACAATAAGCTTTCATCAACAAATACTATTCTCTGTTCAGATTCTGACCAGCTAATTTTTAGCTAGTATGACTAATGTTAAATCTTGAATAATTCTGAATCAATCAGGATAAATTACTTACGTGTCTTCTTCTTCCAATGCTTAGTAGGATGAACTGGTATCTTCTTTTCGTACTAAAACTCGGTAGGATATAGCATACTAACAGAACAACTTAATACAGTTAAAATTCAATTGAATTGCATTTACAATAAAATATTTACATAGGTTTACTGGATTGAAGTATAGTTACATATGAATTTTGAGTGCACTCCTACACATCTTTATTCTTTGAAGGTTTTAGAGGCACTGTTCAACAGACCTGTACATGGCTCTCAAGTAGCTTTCAGGATGCAACAACTAGCATTAAATTACAAGGAATAAGAGAGTGGTTCATGGCCTAAAAGTAGAAGATCGCGATGTATTGAAAAGAGTACAATTGCCGAAAAGCATAGAATGGCCAAATCTACCTTTTCCACAATACTTAGGCTGTGAAAAAATTCTTAATTCTGCTGCATCGGATTCTGGGAACTGCCTCTATAATTCAAGCAAATGAGATTACAAAAAATTTTAACATTCAAGATTTCAGTTGTTCTGCTAATTGGCTGAACCACTTCCAAAACAAACACTCAATTTCATGAATAGCGATTTGTGTGCAGCAAATAAAGTTGATGAAAAAGGATTAGACAACTGATTGCATGTGGCTAAGTGAGAAAAATGTATGCCTTGTGTGATATCTACACAGTCCACTCACATTAATGTGACGACCACTTACTTTTGACATCGACGTGAAATAACCCACAACAGAAGGCATATTGCAGTGAAGCATGTATAAAAAGTGTCCAAGAGGATAAGAAAACATTGCAATCATTGCCGTAATGCATAAATGAGGCAATTTATCTGATTTCCTAATGGGGATGATCATTGGCTTTTGGGGCCAAGGGTGGAAGCATTTCTGAAATGGCTAATTTTCTAAACTGTTCGTGTGACGCCGTGGTAAAAGTGACATTATCCAAAATCGACAGTGTGGTAAATGTGGTGCACCACGTGCCATAAATGATAGAGGTGAACGACAGCTGCAGGCAAATAGATGTGCAACCATTGCACAACTGACTACTGAGATGATGAACAAAGGGAATATTAATAGTATCTCCTCACTGTTGATGAGTTAGACGGTAACTATGGTAACTTGGTGAATGGAATAGTTGCAAATTTATGTTAGTTTTTGTGGAACTTGTAAGAGTAGACGACAATGTTGTTCCAGGGGAATCTAATGTACAAGTAGTTCGTGTCTCAGGTTCAAGAAGAAAGTGAAGAGAACAATATCATTCCACCTACCCTGCCAGGAAATGTTACTGTTGAATGAAAATTGGACAAAAGGCAGAGGAAACAAATTCTTGAAAAACTGACATTAAAGAGGATAACTATTTAAGAGTGTTTACAAGATAACACCTGTAAACACTCTAGTAGTTGAATTCCTGCTCAACAATTGATTCATAGGAGCAAATTCTGAGAGCACAGGAATTGAAATAATACAATGATAGGATATGAAGTGACAGGGAAGGTTAACTGGTGAAAGTTAATGATACATAGTCGCACTGAAGTTAGACTCGTTGCAAAAAAAGACATCTAGAAAGAAGCTGGAACTGCATGTCTTGAATCCAGAAGTGAATTGATTATTAGGATTAATTGTAGAAAATGTTCAAAATATATTCTATAATCATAAACCTTTTACAGTGGAGGAACAGCTTTTCCAAGGAGTAAAATTTTATTAATGTCAATTTTTCCAAATTAAATATGAACACTGCCAAAGAAACTATAAGTTCTGCACTAATTACAGTTTGTTTGGACTGGTGAAAAAAGTAAATTTATTGGACTATACTTATTTCAGTTTGTGTGAACAAAGCAGAGATACAGTAGTAGTTTGAACGAAAGAATTTTTGTTTAAGGTATCAAACTAATTCATTTCTGCTTCCGAAATATTTACTTTCAATAATATTGAGTTAAATTAAATGGGCTCTTTTGGATATATCAAAATAATACATGTTCTTCAAATCCTGGCATTATCTTGAAGATGACAATGATTATGTTACAACAAAGGAAGATTATACTAAGCACGATTATCTTCATACACAGTCCGACACATTACAAATTAGAGAGATCATTATTTAATATTATACTGAAACAAATTACTAAGCTGCACCATTCCCCCCCCCAATGCTACAATATTATTTAAAGTAAAATTTCAGCTGAATAGCAGATTTACTGCACTTCAGTGCATCTAGTATCTTAAACCTCTACTTAATATTTATTACATTAATAATTACCATCCTATAATTGTTGCCTGTTAACTGATAGTCAGATCACTAATAATACTATGCAAATCAAGCATTTCAGAAATAATTTTGAACATATAATTATCTTTATGATGCTTTCAGAAATTCACAAATTGTATTTACTAAAACTTATGTTAAAGAATTAAATGATGTAGAAAAAAATGTTATATCTAATGATAAAATTGTATAATAATACAGCTTTGAGATCTGTTAGTAAAAACTATTCATATTGAAAGAGTTTGTAGCATAAAAATGTTTTTTACTTAACCGTTTGACTGCTACACGGCGTAAAAGCGCTGTGTTTATTTGTCTCGAAAACCACGACGCAGTCATTTTAGAATGCACTCGTGTTACAAAGTACGTGTAAGGTCAGACTACATACGTTCACACCCACGGAGCAACAAAGACACACTGAAACTCGCAGCACAACAGCACTGCGTCGTGGTTTTCGAGACTAATGAATGCTGCGCTTTTGCGCCGCGTAGCAGTCAGACAGTTAAGTAAAAAACAAGCACAACAAAAATATAAAGTTTTGATTAGCTTTTTAGCAGTTTTGAGTAGTTTAATACAAAGATGGTAGATGAATTTGTACAGCAATCATGTGTGTAAGTGATTGATTATAAGTACACAAACAAATAAAAATATACTAAAAAAGTTTTATTTACAAAAGAAAAAAAAGGTTCGAGATCATTCTGGTCCACGATATGTCATAAAATATATAGGAACACTGATGTTATAATACATCACAAAATCGGCATCAAACATTTTTCTGTATCTATAAATTGAAAAAATAAAAAATAAGCATTATTAATGAAACTAATTAAACAAAGTCATTACTAATACTATACTGAAACAAATTAAGCTGCAGCATTCTCCTCCACAATCTCCTTCCTTTGTACAATTATCTGTTAAAATTTTGCATTTTTAACATTTAAATAAACAAAATTTCAGCAACTCTTGTTATAATAAATACATTACGATCAGTTGATTTTGTTTTATATTTAAAAAAGCTCAAAATTAAAAACACAAAAGAAGGAAAACTTAATTTGTTGAAGTTTTTCAATTTAACACTGATTTGGCGAGATTATAGGTTAACTTTTTCTAAAATCATATCACACATAGTTATGGCTGACTAGTTATAGCTTTACAGACATTGAAAATCACACTTTACTTTCAAGTCACATTTATTTACTGCCATTTTCACTTGATTACTTGGTTATTCACATCAGAAACAATTATACTGTGATTTCACTTTACATAACTGCTATAAATTCATATATCTTGGATATTTTTATTTTATTATTTTAGTCAATAAGTAAAATCTGACAAGAAACAAAAAAATTAGTTTGGTTGAGAAATATTAAGATCTTTTCATGTTTTGCACTTTTAAACATTTTGATACAATGGTGCAAAATACTAACAAATCTTCACGTATTACTCTGATTACAAACCTGGTTCATTTTTACTTCCTTGTATGAAGTAAAAAGGAAGTATTGTAATCACGAAAAATTTCAGGTAGCATATTTCAACAAAAATGTCCTTTTTGACAGCTATTGAATGCAATTTACGATGTTTTTGCTTGACATCTGTACATAAGGACAGAATAAAAGACTCTACGTCCAAAAAAAATTATAAAACTGCTGGAATTCTAAAGAGAATTTTTCATGGTGTCTGTACGTATGTATCAGGGTTCATAGCCACATTTTAGTTAAAAAAATAAGCACCTATAAGCACTTAAGCACATTTTAAGAAAAAAAAAAAAATAAAAAAAAAAAGCACCTGCCTAATTACATCATACACAACTGCATAACCTTAAAAATTAGACTTGTAATTTAAAATATGAGAAATGAAGTACTTATTAAGAGAGAATAAGCATTACCTCATCCATGGAAAATAATTACTTTTTTTTTGTTTTTAATTTTAAATAATAGTTCAATTTACGGAACTAGTTTACAATGAGAGAAAAAAAAAACTATGAAGAACTAAACTATATTACAAGATTTAACGATGAAATTTCAGTTCAAAATAGAGAAAATAAATAATAGTAAGGCATATTTATTGTATTCGCTTGGAACCTAATAATAAATACAATTTATTTTTCCACTCATATTGATATTTAAATAATTTAAATCTAAATTCTGAACATTTTCTAAATTTTCATTGTATATCAGTTTTTTTAACAGATATTGCAAGCAAAGTAATTTAAGTAAAAAAAGAAGGAACATTTCTGAAATCACAAGACAGAAATTTGCTTCATGCAGTCATCTTTAACAGTAAAAGCTTAACTAACCTGCACACTTGGAAATTGGCGAATATTCGGACAGTCGAGTGTAACTTGAAGGAGCGGAGGGGGTAGACTGTAGCCGCTCTTTAGATTTTTTCGCTAAATAAATGCTTTTGACATTTCAATATGTGCATCATATAAAAATAAACCAACCGAACTAAAAAATATTCCACTTAGCATGAAATCAGAAGACAAAAATTTGCTTCATGCAGTCATCTTTAACAGTAAAAGCTTAACTAACCTGCACACTTGGAAATTGGCGAATATTCGGATAGTCGAGCGTAACTTGAAGGAGCGGAGGGGGTAGACTGGTAGCCGCTCTTTAGATTTTTTCGCTAAATAAATGCTTTTGACATTTCAATATGTGCATCATATAAAAATAAACCAACCGAACTAAAAAATATTCCGCTTAGCAAGCACAGTAAAACTCTTTTAAGTGCTCATAAACAAATCTCGACTGAACATCAAAATTAATTATCTCTGCAAATATCGCAAATGTTATTGCGCAATACGTGCACCGTAATTCTTCCCTACGTGATATTACGCAATCGGAATCAACAACTGCCGGTATTGGGAGAATAAAGAACTAAATAACTGGAGCGTTTTTCATTCTAATTTTCAACAGACGGCGTTAAATTTTCGGAATAGAATCATTCTTCACTTGGGTAGGTAGACCGCAGAACTTTTAGTCCTATTCAATCCAGATTGGAAAGTGACCCCCCCCAAAAAAAAAAGTCCGCTTGCTTGTTTTGCAGCGAACTGTAACGTTTCAATATTCGCGATTTTGCGGAGAAAGGGGAGAACTCCCAACCTTCGTACTGTATAATGTATTAGCCAAAAAAAATGAAATTATTTTGACTATTCCATTACTTTCCCTTTATTTAAGCCATTCTAAATATTATTCCTTAGAAAGATAATCTGTGTTAAAACACAACCATTTTTGGAAGTTTATCTATACTTCAGCAGTTACTGCAACTATGTTATTTATAAACATTCATACATATGGCTCATAATATAAGCATAACGATCATAATAAACACAAATATGAACTGAACCAAGCGGAACGAGAATTGCAAATCTATTAAGAATCTTGATAGAAATTCAAACGTGTGTAGTATTTTGGGGTGGGAGGAAAAGAATGCCGAATGTATCGGAAATTTTCTACTGCTTTCGCAATTCTTTGACCAATAGAACGACGGGCACCACATGTCTGTACTCTTCGCCCGCACCACCAAGGTTATGTTAATGCAGAGAAAGGGGGAAAAGCTATTTCCGGGAGTATGACTCACCATCTGACATTCCATATTAGGAAGAAAAGTTGTTTATTTAGTTTAAAAAAACACTCAAAGCAAAAAATAAGGACTTTAAAGAAAAAGTAAGCACCTATAAGGGCCTTTATATTTTATTTTCAAACATAAGGACTTATAAGCACTTATAAGGACCGCTACGAACCCTGATGTATCTCTCATAACTCAAAAACGAGTAGCCTTAGAACGTTGAAATTTTGTATATAGGACTGCTATAACATATGCACCTCGTATTTTTGTTGCAATCGGCTGCACCAAAAGTATATAAATATATTTATATATATATCCCCTTTGTTACCCGGTTCAGTGATCTCAGTTTCTTTACTCTTATATATTTGCAAATTGTGCATTTTTTGCTTTAAAAAAATGATTGAATTATGTTGTTCTTATCTTCCGATTAAGAGTTTTATGCCTTAAGGAAATCTGCAAGCAATATTTTTAGCATTATCAACAATTTAAAGCTGTTTAAGTGTGGTTAAGCCTAATTTTTAAATAACATGGCGGACATATTTGTTTACATTTGAAACAGCAGAATAGTAGATTTGTTGCCAATCTAGAGAGACTAAGCTTCGCAACAACAAAGATAATGCCTTCATTTATTATTGCAAATTAAATCATGCTTAATCCTTTCTGGAATTTTTCGAGGAAATAAGTGTTTAAGATTTACTTCAATATTTTTAATACTGATATTTTGATTTTTTATGTATTTTTGCCTTGTTGCGAAGCGAGAACTGAATTAATTGAATGAGAAATACTGAATCGTCTATGAAAAACTGTTTCTTTTTTGTTTTGTTTGCTTAAAATTTTTTTTATACATTGTTCTAGATTTATTATAGTATTTGAATAGAACATATGGCAACAATTAGATAATTCTTCAAATGACGTAAATTTTGTGCATTCTGCGTTATAATGTGGACGAAATATAACATGGTTAAGTGAACCTAGCGCCTGAGTGTCACTATGGTAAACAAACATAGTAAATTTTAAATAGTGCATTTATTCTATTGTGGTTTATGCACTATCGAAGAAGTAGATTTAATTCAGTCCAGTAAGTTTAAATGAAATGCAAGAAAAAATGCGTATAATTTAATATTCCATACAAGGAAGTCATGTGGTGTACACATCAGATTTTTTAGTATATGTAAAGATTTTCAAGTATATTTCAAAGCATATGCATTTTCAAAGATATAGAGATTAAAATATGAAATTATATTTTCAGGGGAAAAAAGGGCCATGAATCATAAGACCTTAAATATTCAGTCTTCAAAATAATTTTAATGATCAAGGTAGTTTTCAAATTATAAATATTTAGGAAACAATATGAAATTCTTGATTATCCTTTAAAAAGCTACTATTTTCTTACTTTCTACAGCTAGATACTGATAAAAATACTGCATTTTATTTACAGACAAAGAAACAATTGTTCATATACATACATCTGAATTTAATGTTGCAGGAAAACTAGAGGTTTGACTATCCCTAGCTTCTTGGAATCCAGCCAAGAAATCTGTCCCCAACATCTATGAAGAAAAGGTTACAGAAAAATTTAAAACCTTGCATATTTATGTACAGAAAAGTGTAAAGAAATTTTACAATATAAACAGAAGTAAAAGATTCTGATTAAACTTACTTTAGACGCTACTTCAATAAAAGACTGATCCACTTCCATATGTTTTAAACTATTTTCAATCTGGAAATAAAACTAAAATTTTAAACTTTTCCTTTTAATAAAGGATACTTAGAAATTTTTATAACAAAATGTGTTACATTTCTAAAATTTAATTTTTATCGGACCACAATTAATTAAGCATACAAATAAATTCATGGCATTTTCTTCATGAATCTGTTACATAGTTAAAATTCTAACTAAAAATAATCTCCATGACTTTCTACTCATTTTGAAGCCAGTAATGGCTTTCAGCTGCTAATGTTCCATATGTCTTTTCATATACTTCTGAAATTCAAACTGATTAGATGCTTCTGAAGAGAATGGTTTGGTTTGGTTTATTTAATTATAGCAAAGCACACTAGGGCTATGCCTAAGGGGAGGACTTTGTAAGGGAAACTGACTCGTATACACATTACACATGGGGAAAACCATGAAAACGCCCATGCGGCCAGCCCTTTTGCGGGATTCGAACCTCGGACTGAACTACCAGTGTTCGGCGAGTTTACAGCTCGGCCGCTGGTGGGCCTCTGAAGAGAATGAATTATATAATATGAAGGGGGTTTTGGTCAATGCAAATAAGCGGTGCAAGGCAGAACATTTCAGTTTAAGTTTAAGAATTAAGAAATCCCTTAAAAAACTCTAAAAAATTCTTAATCATTAGAAAATTAATTACACTTAGGAAAAAATATTCATAAATACCTATTAGATACAAATTATGTCAAATAGATAAGTTTTAAAATGAAATAAAAATTATTTAAAAGTACATGTACTGTTTTTAAACCTCACAGTTTATTATTATAATATATTGCTATAACAGGAAAGAAAGCTGTTTTCCCACAAAATTGGCAAAAGCTGTCAGAATTGGAAATTAGTCAGTATGAATGACCAATTAATTATCTGTTACAATGCAACATAATACAATGTTAAAATGGAAAAGACTAGGATTATACATGCTTCTAAAATCAACACAATATATAATTATAAAATGTACACTAATGAGACATCAGCATTTGGTTGGATTTATAAGGTTTGGTAGCAATTTTCATTAAAATTTTTTAATTTTATTTTTAAAATTTATTTATACATTGCAAATATTATAATAATATTAATGTATGAAACATATCCAGCCTTATTATGCTGTAAGTGGCACATATCTCGCATATACACTTTACGATAACTTAATGATGCTCACATAAACAGTATGCTTTTAGACAAATGATGAATGCTTGTACATGCCTTGCATAATGAGTATTTTGGTTGCTGAAAACAACAAGTAATCATCAAATTATAGTGTATTTACTTGAAAATAAGACACCCTTCCTTTTTGCTATATTTTTGTTCTAAAATATAGCTCTGTATTTTCACAAATGAAACTGCAGAATGAGAGGAAGGAGCTTGATTATCATAATATATGCAATTAATACACTGTTAAAATCTTAACCAAACAGGTGGTTACTGTATATATAAACTGCACAACATACTGCTAATCATAATAGCTATGTCAATTAGACAGATTTCACTTTACGCCTACATTTACTTTACTGGTCACCGTTATGTTTGAAAACAAATACAGTGTTTTTGAGTCAGAGCTAATGGTATTATTTTTTCAAGGAAAATTCTCTTTCTCAGAATTACTTGCATGACAAAATATATATTCTTATCCTAAAATGTACGGTTTTTATACAATAGATATTTGCACAACAGTTATTAATAGTTTCCTCCATAAGAAGCTGTTATTCATAGGAATTCCTACGATTTAATACGAAATGAATATAATTTTAGTTTTTCTCATATTTCTGGCTATTTCAAAGTACTTTTCTTATTCCACTGAGTAATGCAATAAATACATCAAGTGCCAGAACTACTCACTTGAAAGAATCAAATTTGTTTCTGGAACAAATATTAAGTAAAAGTGTGTCTCCTCAACTTTTTCTTCTTTTGTCATATTTACCAATTCCTCCCATCAAATGGAATTTCCGCCAGGAACGTGCACAAAACTTCATTTATTTACAAATGTATTTTTCTCATTATCATATTCAGTTACAGTATGAAATACGGAATATGCTTATCTTGAAAACCTTCAGAAACTGATTTTTTAACAAATCAAGTTTTGGAAGTTAGAAATTCCACCTACTGTACAGAGAATTAGCAGACATTGTTTACATATTTTTAGAACAATTTAGGGGCTATTTGATTGTTCAAAATGTAAAGATTATTTGTTATATGTTTGATTTGATACCCTTTTTTATGGACTGTAGTCTGCATCGTGATTTCTAAGACAGAAGGACTTTTTGTATATTTTCCATTTTGTAAAATTTCACTGATTTTCGTTCCTCTTCCATTGAAATATAGTTTGTGGATTTGCAGTTAGCCGTAGTGGATATCAAAACATTAACTGTGGTGGATTTTCAGCTAGGAAAAGCTCTTTTCAAGAGATCACAGGCACAACAATCCATAGGTGAAACGTCAGGGAATTTTGTAGGATTATGTTTAAAGGTATACATGCAGTTTCTGTAAAAGTGTTCATTTTTTTAAGTACTTTTCGAAGTACAACTTGCTGCTTTGTCTTGATGAAATTTCACTCTTTAAGAGTCACTGGAATAAAGAAAAAGAATTTCTTCCATAAATATCATACAGTCAAAAGTCGTTAATCCGGACTCGTCGGGACTTCGGCGATTCCGGATTATCGATCATCAGTTTAAATCTCGTAGATGCATGCAGAATTCTAAATTAAAATATGAACCGTAATTTTGAAATAAAGAACAATTATGATCTAAAGGGTATCAAAATTTACCACACACACACACACAAAAAAAAAAAAAAAAAAAAAAAAAAAAAAAAAAAAAAAAAAAAAAAGAGCTTATATTTATTGTTTACTTTATTAATTTCTTTTAATGAAGTTGTTTAAGTTGGCTTCATTTTAGGTGATGATACTTTCTCTTTAATTCTATAACAGACATAATTTTGTTCAGTTACAAAGTTTCACTGTTCAAGTCCCGTTAATTGCTGTGCCGAGAATACCGACTAACTTGTCAATCGAAATTTTTTCGTTTTCACTAACCTCTCTGTCACATTCTTCATGTCCTTATCCATTTTTTGCAGCAATTCACTTTTTGTTTGTTGGACATCGAACATACTTTCGTTTTGTAGATCCTTTGGAAGTTCCAGCATTGGAAATTCTATTTGACATAATCGAAAGTTCAAGTTTACTTTTATAAAATTGCTCTTACAGTCTGCAAAAAATAATGAGCGGGATCCAATTCGAAGATTAAGAAACAACGCAATCATTAACATTAAGTGAAATAGATAATTAGATAATTTTAGCTTACACCGTCCGTTATACATTAAACGCGCAGGCGAAAACGTATTCTGCACTTGCACACACGCATATGCGCGGTAGTCAAGGTCTTACGTGCACGCGTAAAACGCCTATGCACATGTGCCAACGCGGCGCATGCGCAGAAAGTTTTTAGCTTTGAGGTCCGGATTATGGGTGTCCAAATTAACGACTTTTGACTGTAGTACCTTTACTGAAACATTCTTTGCATTGACAGAACAAAGTTTCTATATTTTTTCATTTTTGTTGTCAATAATAAACAACCTTTTTTATTGCAGTCATTTAAGTAATCTCATGCTTCATCAAGGATCATAACGTATTTCCATTTATCTCCTACTAAATAGTTTTCATTTAGGTTTCTATAAATTGTCCTGTGGTGAGCCACATGCCTTGGCAAAAGCTGGTGAACATTGTGTTTTAGCTTTATTAAATTGTAAATCTAAGTTTATTATTTTATTTATTGTTGATACAGATATACTTCAAGACTTTGCATTGGTGGATTTTCTCTTGTTACCAATGATTTAACTTTAGAAACATCAGATGTACATCAGTACATACCTTTTGAGATATTCGTCTGGAGTCTTCTTTCCATGTGGAAGTAATGATTGTCAACTTTTCCCTTTCTGATTAAATGTTGCTTACTAATTCAGAAGTCAAACAACAAGAATCAGCGTTATATTTACAAAATTTTCACAGGACTAGTTTCGATGGTTTTAACGCTGATTCTTGTTGTTTGACTTCTGAATTAGTATTTATTCGGCGTGTTATTGTGTCTTAATTAAATGTTGCTTATTTTGCACTTCACAATTTTAATACCATGCATTTCACAAGATTTCTGAATTATGGAATATTTCTTTTTGGAAAGCACAAAAACATATCCTTGAATCCACAGCTTGTTCCATTTTGGGAGAATAAATTTAAAAGCAGCAGATGATATTGTTCATTTCAAATAATCAGCTGTTGCCAAAAATTTTTATTCCAGAAAATATGTTTTTAAATTTTTCATTGAAATTGTTCTAAAAATGTGTAAACAGCTATGGTATTATATAAAAGAAGGAAATGAGTGTATGTAAAATAATGTACATGAAAACATCATTCAATTGAATAGAAATCAGAATCTAAGAATAATATTATTAGATTTTAGCCTGGATAGGATTATTCAGTTATGACAAACCACATAAAGGCTACCTATCTATCAGAAAGAAAGGAGGAGTGAAGGAGACTAATAGGAATAAGGAGTTTATGAAGGAGTTAACATGAATTGGCTTACACTAACATAAACATAAGGAAAATCACAAAAACTACATGAAGCCAATCTGCTCAATCACCAGAAATAAAAGCATGAAATGAAATCACTTGTGTTTTATGTCTTAAAAAGTCAGCCACTACTAAAATTTGACTGGTTCATAAATTTAAAATCATGTATGCTGTAACACAACATGGTCGTTACATTGTCAACAACTTTTGAAAATGCTACTATAAATCCTCACATCTGAAAATTTCGCAAATTTATCAGTACAAATTACAAGCAACACATCTTCCACAAAATCATTAACATGAACACTAGGCCTTGAAATCTTTAAGAAATTTCATGACTCGCTTAAAACTTCAAATTTTGCCCTTACAATGAATTGCTCCCCCACAATGAGATTACAACATCACTTAAAATTAATATAGTTTCAAATTTTTGTTTTATACATGAAAAAAACAAATGATATTGAAATATTTTTTGCTTAATACTTTTCCTGAGACAAATCTGTTTAATATTATGACATATACAACTGTTATGCATAAAGTGTAATGTTACCGGGATGCCCAAATTTACTAAAATTAGAAACTCATTTTTAACATTAAACATATTTTCATAGTTTTAAGTTTGTAAGAGTATTTACTATATTTTATTAAAATTTCATTATTTATTATTAATTTTAGGGTCATCATAAATATAATTCTTCCAACTACACAACAGAAAAACCTGCTGGAAGATGAACAATTACATAAAATATTAATAAGTATACCTTTTCCTTTATTCTTTTATCTCTTTCAAGTCCTAAAAGATTAGGACCACTTGAATCTAATAACACCCTGTAAAAGGTTTGTAAAATAAATTTCTTTTGCCTAAAGTATTACACAGAATCATTTCTATTTAAAGACAACTGCACTGAAACAAAGTATACACAGTAGAACTCCAATTATTTGAAGTAATTAGGACAGCCCATCAGGATAATAATAATTTTAAAAAATAAGATAATTAGGTTTCTTTTCTTAATGTTTACATAAAGCATACATATAAATTTTAACATCTGTGAGCTAACTTTTTTTAACTTCATTAAAGACAAAATGCAAACAAACTTTGATAAAACTGCAAGATGAAATTCTTTATTTGCCTACACACAACACCTAATTTCTATTTAAATTAAAATAAAATAAATTTTATTTATGTTAGCCCTAGAAATAAACATGGAATCTCATTCTACTTGTATTTAGAGAGAACACTTGAATGACATAATATCGCTATGATGTTTAGTCTAGTTTTAGAAAGAAGCACTTACGGTTAAAAATTATTCAGAGTATATAGTTACTTTCAATATACTCTTACAGTAATGTACCTATTATGAAAAATACATTTCAAGATATGTGGTAACGTTATTAGCAAATTAACCAAGAATGAAAGCTATTGGCTTGCAAAGAAATAATGATAAATATGATAATTGGCTTGCAAAGAAATAATGATTTAGTACAAGCCAATAAACATGCCACAGATAGTTATCCAAATTAATTTAACAACTTCTTAAGTAATGTTTTATCTTTTCCCATACTTTATATCTACAAGAAAATTAAAACATGCAAATAAATTAGCAGCAAGTTTAAAATTTTAAATAGCCCTGACCCCCCCCCAAAAAAACTGATAATTGGAGATCTACTGTACAACAAGCAATATGTATGATTTATAATGTTCGAATCCCATTTTTTGAGCTATTAAAACAAAATAAAACAGCAAACATTCAAATAATTTAGAAAACATAAGAAATAAAATGCTCTTATATCTAAATAGGCATAAAAAATTTGAAGATTAACATTAAATTATCATACATAAAAGCAATAATCAGAACAGTAATCATGTCAGATAATGCAACAGTATTGTAATCTCTGGCACATAATTTATTCAATTTACAGACTGAAAAATGTTTTAACCGATTGATTCTTTTATTAACATACCTAACTAATAATCAAATTGTTACCATAATTCACTTTATGCAGTTATAGTATGAACCCTTCAACTTCCGCTTCCAAACTTGCCTTTCTTGCGTCAGTTGACATGCACTCATCCACTCAAATCATTTCACTTTGCTTTCCTTTATCATATCACATTTTTTTCTAGATATCTTTAGTTTTGCTTTTCCACAAATAAGTTCTCCCATCAATAAAACTTTTGAGAGTGGTTTTTTTTTTTTTTTAGATATTTTAAAAATATGATTAAGTCCCTATTATATTCTAAACCCTACTTCCAAGGTCTCGGAATTTCACTTTTTCAATATTCATTTATGATGCAGTTTAATAAAAAAATCGTTAATATTTCAGACATTTAGTCTGAAGTTGAAACGATGGACATTACAGTTTAGAACGGGGTTAAAAAAATTCCAAGTTCATAATTATTGATGCATTTCAAATTCCACATCGGTAAAGAAAAATATAGTTCTTACCTTTATAAACAAACACGTGCTTAAAAAACCTATTATATTTATTTACATTTTATATATTACACAATTTTAAAAATATTTTCTACTTAAAAGAAATGAAAAAAATCAACAGCAATTTCACATTCTTCAATTATCTTCATTTAATAGAGGTAGGTTAACCAATTTTTATGATTTTAATCTTTACTTATAGCTTTTCCATTTTGTTAGCCCTCACAAGGATGAAAATGAATTAATGAGTATTTAAGATGAAAGTTTTGAATGTTTTAAATACAGGTTTTGGCAGCCACTCTAGTAGCTTTACTTTCTACTGCCCAGCTCTGCTATTAATATTCCAGTATTAACCACTCGTTATATCATGATATTATACAGTTGAGCCAGCTTAGTTGAACCAAAGTTAAGTAGCCTTGGCAATGATTCTTTTTTAAACTGCAAATTCAACTTTATGCGACCATAATACTCACAAATGGTGGAAGTGTACACATAAGTAGTTCTTTCAGCTTATTTCAGGCCTAAGTAAAAAAGGTTTTATTTTAAATCTTAAGATTTTATTGTACATTTTCAGATAGAGTGACAAACATAGCTTGCTTTGCGTCCCATATACGCATTCCCTAAGAATGTCTCTTACAGCTGGGCATCCCATCCACGCATCACTAGAGATTGCATTCTAAGTTGTAATGTTTTTTTTTTGTAAGGCCACTAGGATGGCATCCTATATCCATTACTTTTGAAATGAACACAGTTTTAGGTTCCTGACCTTGAGTTTGATATATTCTGCCTGACTTTGGTATTGCACTTATCTACTGTTGTGCTGGTGGGGGGAGGGAAAGTGTAAACAGAAATGGGCTCTTTAAATTGGGGCATGCTAATGTAAACATTCGCCTGTCTGATTTATATCAAATTCCTTTTTTTTTTTTTTTATTATATTTTTTCCCCTTTACTATGTATGGTCTTTTAGGGTTAGTATGTGGAGTACTCTTACGTTTTGCATTGCCTTCAGATATATTTCCGTTTTATATTTTTACTTCAGAAAGCCTCACCTCCAGTCTATTTTGGAGGGAAGGCACTATTTATCAGAGGAAGTATGGTTAGTGAACCATTTACTAATGAGATGAGAGTGATGATTCATTTTCTAAAAAGTTAGAAAGTGATACTTCTCAGTGCTTCGAGATTTACCACACTCAGTCTCCATTTTAAATTTTGTTACTTCTTACTGTAAATAGTCTTTATTGTGTTGTTTTATTAATTTTAAACTTTATTGAGGGATTTTATGAATTAAAACTTTGGAATAATTTGAATAGCGCTTCCGAAAATTATTTGACAAGATAAGCAATTTTTTAAGTATATTTTCATATAAAATAAAGACAAAAACGTTATTAAGTGCTAATTTTAACACATATAAGAGCTCAAGTAATAATCTGAAATGATATGAAAAATTACGATGCTAGAAGCGAAACTTTTTTTTTTTTTGCTGATATAAAATTAGGCTTTGCAATGCAAAATCTCCGTCCTGTATGGTGACTGCCTTCAATTTCCTTCCGCCCGCACGACCGTCTTAAACAAAGGTTAATAGGGTCCGAAGGAGTTTGAGTTAATCGTACACAATTAGCACCTTATAAAATTAACAGGAATTATCATTACCAGAATTTAAAGAAAAGTTGGGAGGAGGGAAGCATTTGGGTATTTTCGATAACCATGGGTAATGTTGTTAAAAATCAGGGTAACGTAAGGGATTCATGACAGTGCAAAATAAAATTCATACAAGATAATTATTTAGATCAGTTCATAATACTTGTTAAAAATTCACTTACTAGAATAGTTCAGAATAAATTCTTTCTAGTACATGTATTTACTTTGGGAGATGGAAAAGTGGTATCGGAATTCAATTATGACTAAATGAATTAAAAGATTATTTAGGTATCTTTTAAATGAAATTCAATGCACAAAATGAGTTTAAAAATAGCAAACATTGATATATGTATCTGCATAAAATGTAAAATTCAGTGGAGTCTCTTTAGGTGACAAGTAAACCTTTCTCTCCTTTGATACTAGTTTCCCAGAAACCCATATATTTTCTGAAAGCTTATGTCATAAGTAGAAAATCTTAAGGGCAGAGAGACAAGAGTTTAGGAAGTATAGGGCCCGAAAAGTATTGGAAATATGACATCAAATTGCTAAAATGCTCGTTTCACATATTCATATGAGCTAATACTATGGTAAGAAAGTGGGGATCTCAATATAAAGGAAGAAATAACTTGTTGAAAAGAAACATTATATGTTGGGATGTTGACAATGTGACTTGTTATTGACTTCAAGAAAAATCTATTACAAGAGACAATCAATGTGCAGTTCATAAAATAAACAGCGAGACTGGCAGAAAGACAGTTCACAATGGACACACTTTACAAAAGCGATAGCCTCACATTTTGCACACTCATCATTTATCAATGAATCGGAGCAGTAATCCATTGGTGCAATCCACATTCCAGGTTCGTTGTCTAAGTATCTGCCCTTATAAAAAGCATACTTAATCAAGTTCTTAAAATGAGGAATTGATACAGTGAAAAGGACTGCAGGGCCAGAAAACTATTGCAATGAGAAATGTTCTCCTGCTGTCTCGATAATGATTGCGTCCGTTATGTAACGAAAAGATTTGTAGTGTCCGAAAAATTCCAGAGGCTGGATCTTTCCCGTAAAGCTTTCAGGTACCAGTTCCTTTTGTAGGACTTTACCATCAGGTACTTCGGAAGCAGACAATGCATGAACATACAAGAAATAGGGATGTCATTATGGAAATATGTCCATCCATACACACTTCAACAATACTTTGTGGATTCTATAGCTCCTAAACACTTAAACTTCTGCCCCTAAGGCTGCTATCACACGTCGGTTTGTTTCGGAAGAACAACTGTTTGAACAATTTTTCTGCTTTGTCACAACACCACAGATAGCTTTGGATGTTAACACAGGGAAAACTGGTTCCCCATTACAAGCAAGCTGATAGCTGATTGGTTGAAAACGAACAACTTGCAATTTTTTTGGAAAGGACGGAAAAAGTCGCAAGTCTTTCTTTCAATAGTAAACCAGGCAGAAAAATTGTCTGAAATAGTTGTTCTTGTGAAACAAAAGCCATGTGATATGGGCCTAAGACTTCACAGTTTTTTTATTTGTGATATAAGCTTTCAGAAAATGTACGGGTTTTTGGAAAACTGGTATCAAAGAAGAGAAGGTTTACTTGCAAGAACAATAAATATCACCTCTCTAAGAAAACCAAAATCTCATGGGATCATGAGTGGTCGTCTAAAAGGGTTATATTTATTTGTTAGCCCGCTAAGTTTAAAAGCTAAATGTAAATTGTTAACAATGAAATAATTTTTATTATAGTTATTTTTTAAGAATTTTATTACTGGATATTTCAAGCACATATTTTATTTCATAAAAATGTTAATAAAGAAAACTTCACTTTTACTACTTTTTCTTTACAATATTACTTTTACTAAACAATGCTTGCTTATTACTGAGATGTTAAATTAATATTACTGCTAATGGCAAAAATAGTAATTTTGTAATTAATTTATGTAATGTAATAATGTAGAAATATATTGCATTTTTTAAATGTTAACCCATAATGAACAGCAAACTCAGCAGCCTATGCAAATCAAATATTGATTTTTAATTCAGTTTACATTTGTGGCCACAATTCACCGGGCACTCTATGTGTACCTAATTCAAAAGTAATTTCTATTAGCTTTGCGGAAGATGGAAGCAACAGTCTCTCTAGGCCCCAAGGTACAGAAAGCAAGTGCATAGTCATCTAATATGGCAGCTTATTAAGAGAAAGGTTCAGGAAATTTTAAAGTTCTCAATTAGCTACATTATCATTATTATGTAAAAGCCACATGATATGGATTCACAATGCAACCTAGAGAAAAGTTGCAAAGCAATTGCTATTTTTATAACAGAATGGAAATACCCAAATTAAAATGAAGAATTAAGGGGCTACTGTTTAGTTATAATTTTGATGATTTAGATATTTTTATCGTACACACACACACCCATGCTTATTGACCCCAGATTTGAATCAGATTTTTGCTAGCATCTACAATTTTAGTGATGCAATTTTATAGTATTAATTTTTTCTTATGAATGTTTAGGTATATTGAAGCTTCAGTAATACAAACACGTAGGTATATCAAAGATTATGTTATACTTTGTTTCCAATTCTCAACTAACATATTGGCAACGTGAAGGCATAAGCAAAGAGACATTATTGCAAAAATTTATATTTGCTATGTTTTTTTTTCGTACAAGAATTTCCTTAAATTTAGAACATTATTATTATTATTATTTAAACAGAAGGCTTAGAAAGAATGCTAATCCTGTTAATTCTTCTCATATGGTGAATTAAAGTTAAAAACATTATTAGTGTAATTAAAATCAAATTTCAAATTAAGAATTTGAAAGTATTTCTACAGAAGACAGAGTATGAAAAATATAAACTGAATGCATATGTTGATTAAAAGTAATTGCTTTCCTATCTGGACTTCAAGTGGGCTATGAAAATACTACCATTTTCATTTATGAACTGAAAGAACAGGGCGATATTACACTAAAAACTTTTATCACAACAAACACTATCGTCTTCAAGTGTAAAGTTCTCCTTACTGAACTGAAAAGATGCATTTCCTTCTAATATACATCAAACTAGTACTTATGAAAAAGAGTAATTACAAAGGAGCTCAAATTTACTCTCCTCAGAAATAGAATTTTTTGACACTAGATTAGATATACCTACTTTAAATGACAGTAAAATAAAAGTAACTTATTTGAATCACAGCTTTTCAAGACAGTTTGCAAAGATTTCCAAGCAAACAAAATGCAGAAAACTGTAGGAAAGGGGAAGGGAAAGAAGAAGGAAAAGAAAGAATACTAGAAGTTTTTTTAAACTTGCACATGGGACTTGCAATGTTATCACCATTTTCTCCTAGTTTTATTTCCAGCTAATATTGGTAAACTGAGTGAAAAAGATTAGGGAAGGTTTCTGGAAGAAAGGCCACTGTAGTTTCAATATACTTGTTGATTATGGATGGATCCATACTAAAGAATTCTGTATGTAATAAATCATTTAAAAGGTGAAAAAAATCACATTTTCACCTTTTAGATGATTTCTTTCCTCAGTGTACACATAAATTAAAATATACTTGTATAAATTTTATCTACGTATCACAAAATATGTTTGCACAATAATAAAATTTTAATTACGTACTTGAATTCAGCAAAAGAATACCTTCCAATTTACATATTTTAATTTTGTATGATAGTTTTAAAATTCGATAGTCACCATGTTAAAAATTTTGATATTCAGTATTAAACACAAGGTTAAGATTAATAAAGTTGAATGAAATTTAAATCAATAAATAAAAACTTTCTTTTAACCCAAACTATTAATAGCAGAAATCTACAGTGATTTCTTACCATACATATTTTAATTAAATTTTAACTTTAAGACAAATTACATACACAATGTTTGAAACATAACTTCTGGAACACAGTAAAATTTCCCAACAAACACACACATAAAAAAAAAGTAATATAATATACACACCTGGTATGAATAAGACAAGAAGAAACAATCTGGATTCCTAAAGTACAAATTTCACACTTAGTTATATCATCATTAGTTGAGCAAGGATTCACAGAAGCTGAGGTACTACTCGATGGAACGGCATTTTCAGCAGAAGCTGCTTTACAGTCATATGGCACATCTGTCTTTACAGTTTCAGAACACTCACTTGAAGAAGTAAGTTTTGAATTAAAGGCACAACAAGGTTCTGAGTCCATAACAGATTTTAGAATGGAATAGTCAGGAAGGTCGATTTTAAACAAGCCAGCATAACAAAGGCCAAGACGCAACCAAAACTCTGGACAAGATTTATGTGCTTCAATGCAACAATGTAATGCTTCAAGCTCCTCTGAAAATAAAATTAAAAGTTAATATTTAAATAAATCAAGTAGGTACTTTTCCGTTTTGCCGGCGCAGGCAATAAAGTTGCCAATAACGGTACAAATGATGCCAAACAAAGTATCTTCGCTGGTAACCTTTTACGCCTCATTTTCAAAACAAGTCAAGGGGCAGCCATTTCTTATTAGATTGATTGTTTCTTTCAATACTAGCATACAATTACATAGAATTTTTACCAGATATTTCAATTTAATGCTTAAGGCCATTTGCGGTAATTAAGTCAATTAGGATGCAATTACATCGCTTATCCGAAGCCAAAAATAGAGAAAAGGTAATAAGTTCCAACGGTACAAATGATCCAAACAAATATCTTCGCTGGTAACCTTTACGCCTCATTTCAAACAAATCGCAGCCATTTCTTATTAGATTGATTGTTTCTTTCAATACTAGCATACAATTACATAGAATTTTTACCAGATATTTCAATTTAATGCTTAAGGCCATTCGCGGTAATTAAGTCAATTAGGATGCAATTACATCACTTATCTGAAGGCGAAAATAAAGAAAAGGCAAAGTCCTGGGTTAAATTCATCCATTCTAATGAGAATACACTAGCGAAGTAAAGCACTGTGGTTTTACATAATTTCTGAGTAAGCTATTCGTACGAGTTGAAATAATTCTTGCATTTAAACTTCTATTCCAAATTAAGATTTCACTTGAAATTAATGTAGATAATTACTAAGTGAATTAGATTTTTGTAGCGTAGTTTACATGAGATGAGATCACTTGGAGTCACGTGATATGAGCCGGCGAATCGGGATGTTGAATCATGAAAGCATAGTAAATTCTTAAATTAATTAGTTTTTTCGAATTCATTGTGTTTATTTATTGGCTTTTTACAAAATTTTAAAAGATATTAAAATGTTTATGCCTTCAAAATAAAAAATTCTTATGACTAACATTTGTTAACATTTTTTATGTGTATACTGTATGTTGTCACCAATAAAGTCTGCTTGGCGAGATTTGCGCCGGCGAAACGGAAAAGTACCACCAAGTATAATAAAGTGAAATAATAAATAATTCATATTATTCTTTTTGAAAATATTCAGTTCTTTTACGAGAATGCTCACAAAATTATGTATTATATTTACACAATTCCTAAAGACAGGTTTTTTACTCTTTTATCCAGAGATCTCTGGTTAAGTAACTCCCAGCAGCTGGCCAGATGTTTTTAATCTGCCAGTAGGATAGTGTTATGAATGACAGCCAGGATTAATCTATTCCAGTTGCAGCCAAATGTTTTACAATGAATTTAATTTCTTAATTCTGCTGTAATATTTTCCCCCAATATGCCAACTCCGAGATCAAGAAGTGGAGACAAATGATGTCAATAATAATGAGATACTGTGTGACAATCTTATTATTCTGTAAAAATACTACAACGATGGAATTAAAGGCAGTACAAGGTAAGTGGTAATATTTATAATCTCGCACTACAATACAGCTATCTAAAATCATATTAAGCTCTTCATAATATCAACGAAAAGACCAAGAAACCTAAGGTTGCTGGATTTAAGGATATAATCTGTATTATATTAAGCAATTACCATATTTCTCCCCTAACCTTTTAGTGTTGTGTTCCGAAATTTTTAAAAATATTCATCTAATTCTCTCCATTCCTCAATGCATTCAGAGATTGGGCTCCCCAAAATTTTAAAACAGGTTCTCTCACTGTGATTGTTTCCATCTTATTAACAAAGACAAGTCCTTGCAAACTGCCAGTGAAGGTCATGCTGAATCTGTCCCATCTAAATGTTGAACTTTATGCCAGCATAATACCACAACCGACCAGTCACAACAAAGCAAACCCAAACTGACATTCAGTCTAAGAATTTGCTGAGTTAACTGCACCTTCTCTAATTACTCACGGATGATTTGAAGTCTAAGAAGCAGTAGAGACATAGGTTGAGGGGAGGTATAAAATGTGGAAAAAAAAACCCACCACATGACTGTTTACACCACAGTTACAGGGAAGTAGAAATGAAGATATCTTATTATATACTGTAATGCTAATATTACTAATTGTTATTGGAATATAAGTATCTTTTTAAGAAATGATATTGTTATATTACCAGTAATTTTGTTTCATGACCACTTTTCATTTGCTATGGGCTTACTGTAACGGACGATAGAATTAGTAAAAAAAGATGGATGAATATGTGAGGTAATACAGTAATTCTAAAAAACTAATTTACTTTTAAAAACATTCCATATTAAAGAGATACACAAGAAAAATATAAGCAATATCTGGCATAAAATTAGAAATACTGAATTTTTCAGGAGTCAACATCAATAAAAATACATTTTCAAAGATAAATGAAAAGTACCTTTGTATTTTCCTAGTTTATGACAAACTGTAGCCAAGAGATTCATAGAGACTACCTTTTGGTCTGCACTAAAAGATGCTTCGTACTGTAAATGCAACATAAGAATAAAGGAGAATACTGAGAAAAATATGGATATTATTAAATTAAAAGTTAAAATAAATATCAATAAAAATAACATTTCTGCCATATTTGGGAAACATTTAATGGCATCTTTTTTAAATTATTATCATCCTATCTATTTGCAAGACAAAAATGTGACAACATTGCAAAAACTACAAAACATTTCCCAAATAAATTCATCATATTGTTGCCAAAATAAAAATCAGTTACATACTCATACTACCAGAAAATCTAGTACGTCTTACATGTTAGTAAACTTTTTGCACACTATTATTTTATCAAAACTGTAATCTGCAAGTCAGAGACATAAAAACTAGCTTAATATACAGTGGCATTGTGGCATTTTCCAGTGCCTCTATACACTATTTGATGGTTAACAAAACGATATGTTTCCGAAGATTGTTAATTCAGATAATTTCACTTGAAAAATTTTATGCCTAAGCATATACAGTCAAAAGTCTTTAATCTGGGGAAGGGCAGATTTTTTATTTTATTCGGCTTATAATTCCTCACTAAATGTAGTGTTTCATCTCGATGTACTCCGATATAATTTAAATCAATTTCCTCGTCATTATAAATACCACTAATACACATAAAATAGTTTCTGGTTGCAATTTTCTAATTTCGACTATGCGTAATGTAGCTTTAATGCAACGCGTTGAAGAAATGTTAATAAAGTAAACAAATAAATATTAAGCTTTTTTTTTTTTTTGTAAATTTTGATACCTTTAGATCATATGGCTCTTTATTCATAAATTGGTTTCATATTTTTAATTTTATAATTTCTGCATGCCATCTTACCAGATTTAAACTGACGATCTATAATCCGGAATCGTCGAAGTCCCGACGAGTCTGGATTAAAGACTTTTGACTGTATATGAGGTGTATAAATAAAGGGTAAGCTCTTATTATAGCGGCCCCAAAATATAATCATTAACCAACCGAGATGTAGCATGTAGCGAGGTATAAGAACACATGGCAAGGAATCTGGATTGACTAGTAATTCAATCTTTTGGGCTGCTATAATAAGTATCAAATAAAATAATGAGACTGCAAATGTAGCATTCAATCTGGCAGCACTGTGGATTTCCTGTTTGAAGGGAAGGGAGAGGGAATATTCGATGCACACGAGTTTGAACTGTGCTTAGCCATGTAGTTGTCTGTTGGAATATTTTTTCTTCTGAAAATAAGCATTCTCAATTTCAAGCTAGTCGCACTAGAAAAGGAGCCTTGCAACTGCAAAAACTGACTAAAATGTTGCCATAATTCATTCTGATCTCACTTCACAAACAGAATAACAGAAGAGTTTAATTTATATCATACCTCCATTCATCAGATTTTGACAAATGAATTGAGGATGGGGAATGTGTGAAAATTGTTCTGAAAATCCTTTTTCTTCTGCATAAAATTTTTACACGAGAGATGACAGCCTTGATTTTCAAAGCAGAATGAAAATGATCCTCATTTTTTTAAACGCAACATAGTGGTTACAAATCTTGGATATTTGAGTACAACCCAGAAAACGAGCACCAGAGCCATGAATAGAACATTTCAAACTCACTAAGCAGAAATCAACACACTGAAGATTTAAAGCATGCTGATTTGCTTTCTCAGTGCCCACGGAGTCATCTACAAACAGTTTGTGCCTTCAGAACAAACAGAAAGAAAATATTTTACCAAGATCATTGAGACTTCAAAAAAAGGTTGTACGTGCGAGACCAAGAAACAAAGTTAACTGGGTGCTGTATCACGACAACATGCCTTGCCCCAAAGTGTTTACAATTAATAAGTTTTTGGTACGGAAAAACATCCCTGTGGCTCCTCAGTCTCCTTTACCTTCCGACTTAAACCCATGTGATTTTATTCTACTCCCAAAACTCAGAATTCATCTCAAAAGACATTATTTTGGGACGTCCATTGAGAAAATATTAAATAGCCATAACTAGCCTGTTGAAGGCAATTCCAGCACTGTAAGCCTTCCCAAAGTCATCACATTGAAGTAAACAATGCAAGATTGTAATTTTAATTGAATAAAAAATTAAATTTCTGTGAGTGAGCGAGAGTAAGATTATTGGCGCAAAACCAAAAATGATTATAATGTGTCAAACATGAGGTAGATGAAATCTTGAATGAATGCTTTGAAATTGCTTACCAAATGCAGAGGATGAAGTCATATAAAAACAAGCTAAAAGCACACATTAAAATGCAATACACAATTTTCAAAACAGATTACATTAGATAATAAAAGGCAGTCTCTTTTAACTAATAAAATTAATTATAATTGATCTCTCTTTCGATTAAACGGTTGAGAGGTAAGTCATAGTTATTAAAATATTTCTGACGAAGATTATTAAAACTTGGACACTCAATTAAAATACGATGGACAGATAGGATGCAAAAGCCAGAACCCCCGTCCTGGTACATGCCTTTCGAAGTTGAGTTATTCGGGCCTTGTTGACTGCTCAGCGGTGGTGCAGATCCCACAGTCCCTTCCCGGCTTTACATGAAGCCTCGGCAAGTACGAAAATGTTGAACTTGTTACTTAATACGCTGCATAATACATCTTTGCTTCGGGGCACCACTCCCTCAGCATCAAATATATTCATCTTGGTGCCTTGCCTTACTTCGTCAGTCCCTGTCACTGGGACTCTGAGGATCAACCCCACCCCCCCATCGAGACGGTCGTGAAAAATCTAACCATGTAACTCCACCACAGCCAGAGGAACAAACATGACAGTACCAGTACGGTCCCTGCCAAGCCTGAACCAACCTAAGTAAAATACTCAGGTTCTAGTCCTCTGAATATCTCCGTGATTGAGACTGCCTAGGTACAGATACTAACCAGTACTTCCCAGACATTCGCCTGAGTCAATCCCGGGGGAAAGGGAACCCTAAACATCACAATTTAAACAAATAGGCTCATTTTCAGCCTTCAGAAGATAGTTATGTGTCACTCTAGTGTGACCAATCCTGAGGCAAGCAAAAAGGACTTAGTCCTTACGATTTCTATTAAAATCCCAATGCTCAATTCTAGGCTTTACTATTCTCAACTTGTTGTGAAGCTAAACATCTCCAAGTTGCTGTCATTTTTCTGGATCTTTTCTTTGATGGTATAACAGATATCTTTAAAAGGAATGAGGCAACATGACGGTTCAACAGCAGATTTTGCTGTGAACAGATCAAGTGAAAATGGATTTCTAATCCAGTTATTTTTGGGATTTGAGGCAGAAAAATATTTACAGAAAATTTTTAAATGACAAGTAATGCACCGAGCTTTCTTTGGGGGGGGGTGACTGTTATTCTTCATTCGAATCAAGAAAAGTTTTTGGGTTTGGAAATTCCTCAAAATTCTACTCCGATTACAAATGGTGATGCCACAATTTCAATTTTGCCTTTGACTTTTGCCAATATCTTTGTAAAGCAGCTAAAAATGTCTGGAACTTACCAGTTTACTTTTAATGAAATTAATAACTGTAAACGATTCATATATGGTCTGCTTTAATTTTTCTAATATCACCTTAGCAACCAGTTTTCCTATGCTAGCAACAAATTCCACTTGTTGACTAAATTTCATCTATGCATACGCCAATACATTTCATTTCGTCAAAACTATTGAGTGTCTTCAGTTCAAAACTTAAGCTATTAAATACTTTTCAGTCATTACATGAATAAATGTTGAAATGATAAGTAAGTCCCTTATTACATTTCTCTCACACAAATTTCTAATGTAATATAATAGCAATGCTTTATTTGTCATATCTATTCTTTAAGAAGCAAACTTTCTATAATAAATTGATATATAATTGATACTATTTGTAAAATGTTCTAAATGCTCGAAGGATTAAAAAACTTCAATTTTTAAGGTTTCATTACTTTGATATGCATAACACAAACATGCACTGATAGAATATCATAACACAAATATGCACTGATGTAATTATTTATTCAATGAATATGAACATATGAAGACAAAAGACAGCTAGCTTTTTCTTACAGTAAAAAGGTTATAATATTGAAAGAGGTATCTTTATCATCATATTAGCATTTTTAGTTTCATCATTAAGCCTCGGACACATAGTAAAAATGAATAATGTTTATTGTATAAAAAACACAGTATAGCACTGAAAGGTAAATATTCAGAAAACAGACAACTATGTTTAAAAACTAAAAATGACAGCAGTGACTAAATGTGGCAAATACAAAATGGTTGATTATCAAGGATGGAAATTAAAAGCCAAGCAGAAGGGATCATGTATACACAATACTAGTTGTGCACATATGCTTCCGAGATATTTTGGAAAGGAAATACCATGAATTTAGCATGCCTGTGATGTGAGATAAAATGTTCCGACATTAGGTGGCAGCATAACTTCTCTGAGACAAAATCCTATGGTTATCAAGGGGAGAGAATCAACAGAGATAGGATTACATATCGACTGCCACAGTCGACATATTAAGAAACAACTGCTAAACACTGAATGAAGATAAAAGAGCATTTCTAATGTTTTATCTGCAATAATAAAATAACTTTAAATTTCTCAATTTTCAATACTCTCAAGAACTCTTTCAGAATCCTCACAAAAAGAAAATTAAATGCAAGACCATCACGGATATTCAGTTTAAGAATATCCGTCTTTCCAGCAAGCGAAGGGGGGCCCTTTTAATAATAGGTGACACATAGCAAATATATTACATTTCCTTGGCAAAAAATACATGAAAAGTCAATTTATGTGTTTTTAAATGTGCATTTTACCTTTTTTACAGACAACTATGACAAAATATCCTAGATTTTTAAACAATATCTTAAAGAAAGATAAACTGTTTGATAGTAAGAAAATGTACAGAAGAACTTTTTTACTTATTTATTACTTTCTTATTTTGACTTCAGTGGCTAGTAATGGCGAGACGACCAGCTGCAGAGCTTGACTGGAAAATCTAGAGCATGTTTTGAGATATATATATACTCTGACATGCATAGTGGTAACACATTGTATTATCTCACTAATCAAACAGCCTTGTATATATTATTTTAAGGTATTGTTAGAGAGGAAATTTCAAACAGAAATCACAGTTTAATGTGCAACTAATGAAATAATATGCCAAACTACATAAAATTACCAGAAATTTTAATAATAAGAGAATGTCAGGAGAAATATGTACTAAATTGTTGAAATCAGGAATTGAAATCAACTGAAAATCATGAAAGATGGTACTTATGAAACAAAGCAATAATAATACAACTTCAAATCCAAAAGCTGTGCTAATACTGCAGAAGGACTTACTTAATCTTTGTCTATACAGTACAAAGTCCAAAATCCGGACATCAATTATCCAGAATGATCTAAAATCCAGACTTCAAAGCCACAGACATTTTTTTTTTTGTATGCTTTATGCATGCACATTTGATTTTTCCTTCCATAGTAAAACATGCGGAGATTTTCACTTTAAAATTCCGATTCTTAATTTCACTTATGCACTAAATAAAATACCTCGTTATGGAAAAACAATCATGTAAGCATAAATTTGTGAGATTAACAATTTGGTTCCGGAGCTGGGTGTCTGCTTGGCATACATCTCAAACCGAAACATTCACCTATTTTATATCCCAGATGCCGATCTGGCAAGTCATTATTTATTATATTTTGCTTTCATCACCGTATGTTTATCAATACATGACAGCTTCAGTAATAACTCATGCAGTGATGTCTAAACTTTTTTTATATTAGGAATTGAATAACAAGAGTATGGCAACCTTTTATGCTAATATTATGCTTGGTGATGATTATAGATTTTTAAATGCTCTAAGAAATATTGACGAGGAAAAATTCAACAAAAATTTCTTTTCATATGCTAAAAATAGATTTTGTTAATGAAACTCATATGCCAAAAGATTACACTTAGTGCTATTTTAATTAAGAATAACTCATATATTATTCACCATAAACCCAGAAGCGACGGTGGAATATGTCAGCACCGGACGGCAAAATTACGGTATGAGAAGTTTTTTATGATTTAGGGAATGCACTGGGATCCAAAGTTTAGACGTGGTTAAAATTTAAAACTTAGGAAGGCGCTTTGTAGCAGAATTTAGAACCTGTAGAGACTGCACCAGGCAGTATCTAGCACCGGCCCTAGATAAAGCCTTAAGTATATGCGGGAGTTTATTCAGGACTCAGATTAGTTTTAAGCATGTGCAAGAAATAAACGTAGGTATAGTAAATAACTAATACAATTCATGCTTAATTCAGCATGCAATAGGTGTTGTGGTGTATTTAATTATGGCAAAGCACACTAGGGCTGGGATGCCTTTCGTGGAGGACTTTCTAAGGGAAACTGGCTCGTATACACGTTACACATGGGGAAAACCACGAAAACGCCCATGCAGCCAGCCCATTCGCGGGATTCGAACCTCGGACCGAACTACCAGTGTTCAGCGACTTTACCGCTCGGTCGCTGGTGGGCCCCCAGCATGCAATAGGAGCAAGACAAAATTTAGCTATAACAAAGAAGTACCATTTTATGTTGCTGCAAAATGACGTTACTGAATTTTGTAATATTGAATGTATTGAGGAATAAAAAAGCTGCATACATTAATTCTGCAAATACAGTTAATGGAAAGTTTATTAGAAATTATCATTAGTAAATGAATTTATTACAGTTTAATTATATTTAACTGTTTTTTGCTTTCAAATCATTATAGCCTTTGCATGAATTTTTTTAAAAAACAATTTAACTATTCTTCTCTGCCTTTTTCTCAAAACTTTTCCATAAAATATGAATATTAATTTTTCCCTCCAATTGTTTAGGCGAATTTTAAAATGTATTTAACACTTTACCATCTTCACACCACATAATCTTTGTTGAATTTTCCACATCATTTATGTATTTTACAACAAATTCTTTTTTTTATTACATTTGGTGGAAAATATGATAACGTTTTCTGTAATAATTTCACAGGTTGTGAGTAAATTATTGTTATTCAAAAGCAAATCAATTTCAGAGTTACTAAAAAGGTCAAGCTGTGCAAAATTATTTTTAACTGCTTAATGACCGAATTTATATTAAAAATTATGCCGAAAATTCCTGAGATAATAAGAGCTAAAGTAAAAATCATGTAAATATAATTTACAAATTATAAATGTCCGTATGGTACAGTCTGAAATGTAGTGTAACACATAGAGGAACATCACAGTGTGGACAACAAATACCGCCGTTACCACTCAAGAGTAATCACAAAAGCCTCTTGGACCCCTCCCACAGCTAAGAAAACATGTGCATGGCAGAGTGTCGATTGCCATGCAATATTATGGGCGATGGCATTAAATATCCGTAAAATTTTCAGCACTCGAGTTAACTCGTTCTTGGGAAAATTGAAACGGCATCTATTCCTGAGATATTTTGGGTGCGGTCGTTAAGCAATTAAAGCTGCAACAAGGAGATAGAAAGCCATGTTAGAACAGTTATCATTAAAACATACGACTGAGTTCTATAAATTACAGGCCATCCATCTGAAAACAAACAGCTATTATTTGGCAAACTTATTACTTCATGACATAGCATAGTTTCTTCCATTAGCACAGATCTGATTACAAACTGACCTTCAAATCCCTGTACACTGTATTATTTTAGACCTACTAATTGTGTTTTTTTTAATTAAAAAATATTTGAAAATATCAATATTTTTAGAAACAGCAGACAGATAGGAAATCCTGCAGTTTTTTTTCTGCTTTTTGATACTATAAATTTCTGATCTAATACATAGTTCTCCATCATAAATCTTCTTTCAGTTGATTCATAATATCCAGCCTTTCGTGTACTTTTAAAATTATAAGTATTCATTCCATTACATTATTAATATTTTAAAGAAAAGAAAGGAAATTGTATATAAAGTTTTAAACAACAGACTAATTGAATATGGAATAAGCAACACCAAAACTTTACAGAAATGAAAGGCAGCAGTGCTACTTTGTGATAAGAATACTGGTGAAATGGATGTCATCAGATATTCTGAACTATTAGATACCGAATTATCAGACTTTTACTACATATGACTGTTCTAGTGAACATAAGAATGCAGCAGTTTATAATTATCAGGTAGATTCTATGACTTAACGAATCAATCTCTATTAAACACACTTTTTTTGTCCTGTTCCATTGTTTAGAAGCAGACGAATTTTTATAGTTTTTTCATCACAAAATAGTTTTAATAAGCACTCTTATTTTTTTTTTTAGCCTGTAATTCAACTGAAAAGCTAAATCAAAGAATACAATCTATTGCAGTGGTTCCGGTAACCTTTTTTTCTCAACAAAAAGGAAAAGAAATAGGTACTATTCTGTTATCAATATAAATTCAAAAATGTATGCATGCATGTATATAAATGATTGTGTGTGTATACATATACACATATATGCACATACATACATTTCTAAATCCGGTCCCAATAACAGAACATTACCAAGAAATATTACAAAGTTATAGTTTGCTTTACAATTATAAGAATTTATGATAAGGTACTTTTCCGTTTCGCCGGCGCAAATCTCGCCAAGCATACTTTATTGGCGACAACACAGAGTATACACATACACAACGTTAAGAAATGTTAGTTTTAAGAAATTTTTATTTTGAAGGCATAAACATTTTAATATCGTTTAAAATTTTGTAAAAAGACAATAAATAAAGACAATAAATTTGTAAAAAGACACAATTTTAAGAATTTAATATGCTTTCATGTACAACATACTGATTCGCTGTTTCATATCACGTGACTCCAAGTGATCTCATTTCACGTAAACTACGCTACAAAACTCTAATTGTCTCAGTAATTATTTACATTAATTTCACGCTAAATCTTAATTTGGAATACAAGTTTAAATACAAGAATTATTTCAATCCGTACGAATAGCTTACTCAGAAATTGTGTAAACCGCAGTGCTTTTACTTCGCTAGTGCATTCTCATTAGAATGGATGAATTTAACCCTTGACTTTGCCTTTTCTATATTTTCGCTTTCGGGTGAGCGGTGTGATTGCATCCTAATTGACTTAATTACCGCGAATGGCCTTAGAGCATAAAAGTGAACTAGCTGGTAAAACTTCTATGTAATTATATGCCAGTTTTGAGAGAAACAATCAATCTGATAAGAAACGGCTGCGACTTGTTTTAAAAATGAGGCGTAAAAGGTTACCAGCGAGGATATTCCGTTTGGCATCCGTAGTACCATTTTTGGCGACTTTATCGCTTGCGCCGGCAAAATGGAAAAGTACCTAATAATTATTATTATTATTAGTTGTTTTAAACTTAGGAGCCTTATGTTCCAGCCTGTTTAAGTCACTGCACACAAATTTGAAAATGGCAGATTATTTCTAAAAGCCAAATATGATTACAGTAAATAATACAATACAATGAGACATTAACTAAAAAGAACTACTTTCAGAAATACTTGGCAAAAGAGAGAGAAAGTCATTACCAGTTTTAAACTCCATTCTAAGGCTTTTTCGGCATTTCCAAGATGTAGCAATGAACGAGACAGATTTTCCATAAATTCTCTTTTCCAAGTATTATTAGCAGGAGGAACTATCTCTAAACACTGTTCATATGTTTCTGCTGCTTTGGCAAAATCTGAAGAATAATAATAGAAGTCAGCTTTGTGCTTCAAAGCTACTAGCACATCAGCACTTTCGTTTTCAGCCATCTCAGTTTTCATGTACCACTGAAAAAAGCGAATAAAATTAAAACTATTTACTATAAAATAAAAAATATGCATGTAAGATAATATTCTCACTTAAATTTATAATAACCTCTTAAGTTTCTTTTTTAATTGAGTTCACATTTTAGCATTTAATAATAAAATTATCTTTCTGAAGTGTGCCTTTTCTAAATGGATATCATATGATTCTTATTTAATGCAGGGAATGCATGCACTTACATAATGGCAAAAGTGAAACTGAAATCTCTTATCCACTAATATTCAGACAAGCCTTTACAACCAATAATAAGAAAACATTATTCGAGTTAAAATTATATGCCGAATAATAATCATTGGAGAAGTTAAAGGAACAAGATTCAGCATAATATTCATAAATTTGCAGGACCAGTTTCGAAGGTTTAATTATAGAACCTTACTTCTTCAGCTGCAGAAGTGCAAATGATTGCAATCATTTTATACTTCTACAATACAACAATTACTACGTCCCTTGATTGAAATGCTAAGTAACTTTACCATCGATTCTTAATCCAGGTTTACCCAAATCAAGATATTCTATCATCTCTTTTTACTCTATCACAAACTAGACTAGGTACTGTTATTAAGTGAAACATATAATTTTTTATACAAAATTAGCTCCTGTGACAATTTAGCTGTTCACTGTTAATTATGCTATGCCAAAAATAATGAACTGCATATGACTGGTCAAGACAGACTGCATCTTCATTATATAAAAATACACAGTTTGATTGTCATCAAAGTAGACCCCAAAATTTATCACATTCATGAGCTGATTTAGAACAAAGGTAATAAATGACCAATTGCCATCAGGTATACAAAAAAATAACATTTTTACAAATGTGGTTTAGTGGTTTAAATGGTGCATAACCTGAAAAGGTTATTAGCACCAGACGCATTTTGAGACTACACAATTAAAATACACAAAACAATTAAGCACAATCACAAATTTAACACAACAGATATACAAAATCAAAAGAAGTAATAAAATGATGAATATTTAAATGAAGTTACTTATGATTTATATAAAAATATGAAATGTGAAGCAGTGACTCACGATTGATATAAAATATTAAATGCATGTTTAAATTACATTAATATACAAGGATATTATCAAAAACCTGTTTCGGTTGATCTTTACAATATGGTAACTGGTAGTTTGGCGACATTTTGGAGGCGATAAAGGTTACTACCTGGCACTTTGGTAATAATGTGAGCAGTACTACTCAGTTTCCGATTACGCATTATTTTGTGTGAGGGAAATGAGAGATCATGGGATATGTCATGTGATATTAATGGACGAATTACGGTTCTTTAATCGGAAAAGGGGGGAAATCGGGAAAAAAAATCTGGAAATTTTGTATTTGGCTTTATTCTGTGTTGTGTGAAACAGTGTTCGTGAATTTTTGGACCCCATGGCCGTAACTAAAGTGAATTCGAAATGGGTAGTTATGTATGTATTAATTTAATATATGTGCTCATTTATATTTTAAGTAGTGTTTTTGAATTTAATTATATTTTAATTAAATGATAGTTATTTTGTGAATTTTATGTTTGTAGGAATTTGGTATACGTTTTAGTTGAAGTAAACGTGCATGGAAATAATTTAAATATCTGACAATAAGTATTTGTAATGGTTGCGGTATGAATTCGTTGGTGACGTGTATAATGTAATAGATGATTTAGAGGTAAAAGTTTTTGGATATTTTATTTATTTTATATGTGGAAATGTTCATTACTTTTTCGCGATCAGGTAATTTCATATATGTTCTTTTTACCGGGTTTACAGATTGAGAAAATTTTCATGTATTTTCGTTAAATATTTCTAATTTATGAGAAAAAAGCAGTGTACATGGATATAGTGAAGAGTGTGCGCAATGCCATTTTTGTGCAATTCTGGGATGTTTTTTTAAGTAAAAATAAGTCGGCGTGTACATGGTTTATGTGTATGTGTTATTTTGAAAAACGCGTAAGGAGTATGGTATTGTGCACTTTTTCCCAATTTTGCAGTGAATATTTGTCATGTTAAGCAGTTTTGTTAGATAAAATTTCTAGCATAAGTGTAATTCGGCTAGTAGATTGTTGGAAGAAGTGTTCAGTAGATAAAAAGAAAAGAAACATGTCTTTACTTCGTGAAGACAAAATGGCGGCGGGAAAAAAAAATAGAGGGTTGCTGTAGGAGAGTTGGTCGCCAAATTTTCGCCAAAAAAACGCCAAGTTACCATAATGTAAAGATCAACCCCTGTTTCTTTCAAATACTGAAATAAATTAGTATTGACCTCTTTCCTGATTATTCAGTCAAGAGGCAAGTCAAGAGTCATTAAAATACTTTAAACGAAGCGTGTGCAGTCAACTAAAAAGTGATGCACTGTCAGAACACTTCAACAGAAAGAACAAAAAGGTTCACTTTTGGCCTTCAAAAGGTAGCTGTGTGCGACACGAGACTGACCAATCCTTAGACTTGTTAACAACATTTCCTCCTGGTTTTGGAGCAAAAATCGGCACTACACAAAGTAAAAAAGCAAGTCAAAGAATTCAGACTCTGTGCCCATGTACCGCCAATTGGCACCTGCAAACATATTTTTACTGCAAGTCTCTTTCTTTCAAATGCCAAACATCGTTTAACAAAATATGATTAAGCTCACCAAAGGGAACTTTTTGCGCAAACGGCATTTGCCGAAAAATTTTCCTTAAAATCCAATAATTAAAAACTGCTCTATCACAAAGCTAATGGATTCTTGATAATACGAGTTCAAGTACTTCCTTGTTTTGCCAAATAACAGTTTATCTAAGCTACTATATACGGAGAGTTTTAGAACTTTAGTTGTTGTTTCATTTATCGCGAAGTCACTATTTTGTTTATCGCCAAGTTGTTGTTTCACTTATGGTAACCTGAGTACTTGAACGTTATGAAAGCCCTAATATGACATAATTGCTCGCATTATTCCAGGAAAGGCTAATCTTTGGAATATGGTAACAGGTAGTTTGGCGACATTTTGATAAGGCGATAAAGGTTACTAGCTAGGACTTTAGCAGTGTACATGGATAAAGTCAAGAGTGTGCGCAATGTCATTTTTGTGCAATTCTGAGATTTTTTTTTAAAGTGAAAATAGGTCGATGTGTGCGTGGATGATACCGTGTATGTGCAATTCTTAAAAACGCGGCAAGCAGTGGACGATTCTGCACTTTCTCCCAATTTCGCACCTAATCTTCGTCATGATTAAGCATTTTTGTTCCATAAAAGTTCTATTATAAGCGTAATTCGGCTAGCAGATTGTTGGAAAAAATGTTGAGTAAAAAAAAAAAAAAAAGCCTTTACTTCGTAAAAACAAAATGGCGTCTAAAAAAAAAAAAAAAAAAAAAAAAACTAGCAGGTTGCTGTAGCAGGGTTGGTTGCCAAAATTTCACCAAGTTACCATAATCCGAAGATTAACCCCAAGAAATTTTGAATCATTGGATGTTTTGTAAGGCTTTCGTGGAGTGTGTTGTTAAGAAGTACATTGCTTGTTTCATTGTTTAGACAGTAGAATAGCTGAATGTAGTAAGATTAATTCGAAGTTTCTGTATGATTTGGAACGAAAGGGGAAAAGTGCATTAATTGACTGGCATGTAAATGAAGATTTACTTAGTAGCCATTTTCCGGACAGTCTGGAACTACGTGATATTTTTTACTCTTATTTTTGTGAAATTCACGTGGTGACGCCGATATACGGATTCGAGTTCAGATGATTTTAGGAAGTTTTTGTATGCTGTTAAGGAATTTTATGCGACACAGACTGAAGAAGAAGGAATTTCTAAATAAGTGAATATTTGCTTTGTGCAGTGCTTATATGCATAACAGGTTTTTCCTTTTTTATGTTTAGTTTAAAATGCAGTTTATTGTGATTATGCATTTTTTGTCTGCCTTTATTGTAGAAATGGGTGCTCCTTCGAGATTTTAAGTGAAAATATATCGATGTGTACATGGAAAACTCGAGTGCGCAATGCCATTTTTGTGCAATTCTGGGATTTTTTTCAAGTGAAAATAGGTCGATGTGTACATGGATAATGTCAAGGTAGGGCGCAATGCCATTTTTATGCAATTATGGGATATTTTTTTAAAGTGAAAATAAGTTGATGTGTACATGGATACCGAGTTTGTGCAATTCTTTATCTTGTTATTTTGGCTTTGTGTAGTGGCAACTTTTTGCATGCAAGCCAAAATAACAAGTCGTCACAGAATTGCACAAACTTGGTATCCATGCATCGCCAAAAATCGTCAAGGGGTACCTTTAAATCTACTTTTACCGAACTTTTTACATATTAACCCTCTAAATGATATGGGGCTGATCTTTGGAATATGGTAACAGGTAGTTTGGCGACATTTTGGAGGCGATAAAGGTTACTACCTAGGACTTTGGGAATAATGTGAGAAGTACTCAGTTCCGATTACGCATTATTTTCTGTGAGGGAAATGAGAGATCATGAGATATGTCATGTGACATTAATGGACGAATCACCGTTCTTTAATCAGAAAAGGGTGTAAATTTGTAAAAATATCTGCTGTACAGCATTAGTTTCATTCTATGTTCTGTGAAACAGTGTTGTTTAATATTTGGATCCCATGGCCCTATATAAAGTAAATCCGAAATTTTTATTCCATTTATGTGTAATTGAAAAGAATTGCTTAATTGCGGATAAGTATGAATGTCCAACATGTGGGTATGAAATGAGATTGTGTGAAAGGAAGGAAATTACAGATAGTTTGAATGGCGGTGCAAGAAATCTGGTAAAAATGGACATTTTGTAATCCGCCATGCACTCAAGATTCTGTAGAAGATTAGGTAAGTTAGTATTTTTAATTATTTGAGGATATTATTTTTATGCTTTGTCCTAAATGTAAGGAGTAAATAAATTAATTTGGTATTATTGGAAAATTGTTATTAGCAATGATTTAGTTTAAAGTAATTAGGATTGTAAGCTAATTTTTATTAATTTAATGTATGTGCTTATTTATATTTTAAGTAGTGTTTTTTAATTTATTTGTATTTGACACTAAGTATTTGAAACCATTTTTAATGTTTGCGTTAGAAATTGGTAGGTGAGGTTTATAATAGATAATTTAAAGGGAAAAGTTTTTGGATATTTTATTTATTTTATACGTGCAAATGTTCATCCTTGGAAAGGGTATATACTTTTTCGCGATCAAGTAATTTCATATATGTCCTTTTTACCGAATTTAAAGATTCACAAAATTTTCATGCATTTTCGTGAAATTTTTCGAATTTATGAGAAAAAAGCAGTTTACATGGATAAAGTGAAGAGTGTGCGCAATGCCATTTTTGTACAATTCTGGGATGTTTTTTTAAGTAAAAATAAGTCGACGTGTACATGGTTTAATTATATTTTAATTAAATGATAGATATTTTGTGAATTATATGTTTGTAGCAATTCGGGGGTGATCTTTACAATATGGTAACTGGTAGTTTGGCGACATTTTGGAGGCGATAAGGGTTACTACCTGGGACTTTGGTAATAATGTGAGCAGTACTCAGTTCCGATTATGCATTATTTTGTGTGAGGGAAATCAGAGATCATGTGATATGTCATGTGATATTAATGGACAAATTACGGTTCTTTAATCGGAAAAGGGGGGAAATCGAGAAAAAATTTTGAAAATTTGTTTTTGCCTTTATTCTGTGTTGTGTGAAACAGTGTTTGTTAACTTTTGGATCCCATGGCCCTAACTAAAGTGAATTCGAAATGCGTATTTAGTGGGATTGAATGGGGTAATAAGTGTTTCTTTAAGGTTGTGCGAGATAGAAGTAAAGATGTTTTATTAAGTTATTTATTTTACCTGGTACCTTGGTGTGAACTATATGTATGATTTTAAAGATCCTGAAACAGAAATAAGAAAAGTTTATCGGACACGTAATCAAGATTCTGAAGAAGAATAGGTAAGTTAGTATTTTTAATTATTTGAGGATATTATTTTTATGCATTGTTCTAAATGTAAGGTGGAAGTAAAGTAATTTGCGTAAACGTGCATGGAAATAATTTAAATATTTGACACTAAGTATTTGTAACCATTTGTAATGAAGTAAAGGTATGAATTAATTAGTGACATTTGTAATATAATAGATAATGTAGAGGTAAAAGTTTTTTTGGATATTTTATTATTTTTATACGGGGAAATGTTCATATTTGGAAAGGGTATGTACTTTTTCGCGATCAGGTAATTTCATATATGTTCTTTTTACCGGGTTTAAAGATTCAGAAAATTGTTATGCATTTTTCGTGAAATTTTTCTATCTATTTATGAGAAAAAAGCAGTGTACAGGGATATAGTGAAGAGTGTGCGCAATGCCATTTTTGTGCAATTCTGGGATGTTTTTTTAAGTAAAAATAAGTCGACGTGTACATGGTTTAGTGATATTTTAATTAAATGATAGTTATTTTGTGAATTTTATGTTTGTAGGAATTTGGTATACGTTTAAGTTGAAGTAAACGCGCATGGAAATAATTTAAATATTTGACACTAAGTATTTGTAATGCTTGCAGTATGAATTCGTTGGTGACGTGTATAATATAATAGATGATTTAGAGGTAAAAGTTTTTGGATATTTTATTTATTTTATATGTGGAAATGTTCATATTTGGAAAGGGTATAAACTTTTTCGCGATCAGGTAATTTCATATATGTTTCTTTTTTTACCGGGTTTAAAGATTCAGAAAATTGTCATGTATTTTCGTGAAATTTTTCTAATTTATGAGAAAAATCAGTGTACATGGATATAGTGAAGAGTGTGCGCAATGCCATTTTTGTGTAATTCTGGGATGTTTTTTTAAGTAAAAATAAGTCGGCGTGTACATGGTTTATGTGTATGTGTTATTTTTGAAAAACGCGTAAGGAGTATGGTATTGTGCACTTTTTCCCAATTTTGCAGTGAATATTTGTCATGATTAAGCAGTTTTGTTAGATAAAATTTCTAGCATAAATGTAATTCGGCTAGTAGATTGTTGGAAGAAGTGTTCAGTAGATAAAAAGAAAAGAAACATGTCTTTACTTCGTGAAGACAAAATGGCGGCGGGGAAAAAAAAATAGAGGGTTGCTGTAGGAGAGTTGGTCGGCAAATTTTCGCCAAAAAAACACCCAAGTTACCATAATGTAAAGATCAACCCAATTTGGTAAATGTGTCAGTGGAAGTAAACGTGCATGGGAAATAATTAAAATATTTGAGACTAAGTATTTGTAACCATTTTTAATGTTTTGTTATAGATTTGTTGGTGACGTTTATAATAGATAATTTCGAGGTAAAAGTTTTTGGATATTTTATTTATATTATACGTGGAAATGTTCATCCTTGGATAGGGTATATAATTTTTCACGATCAGGTAATTTCATGTATGTGCTTTTTACCGAGTTTAAAGATTCACAAAATTTTCCTTCATTTTCTTTGCAAATTTTTTGTAATTTATGTGAAAATAGGTCGATGTGCAAAGTCATGGATAAAGTCAAGAGTATGCGCCATTTTTGCGCCATTTTTGTGCCATTTTTGCGCAGGGATTTTTTTTTAAGTAAAAATAGGTCGACGTGTACATGGATACCGTGTATGTGCGATTTTTGCAAAAACGCGGCAAGCAGTTTGCGATTCTGCACTTTCTCCCAATTTCGCACGTTAATCTTCGTCATGATTAAGCCCTTTTGTTCCATAAAATTTCTAGCATAAGCGTAATTCGGCTAGTAGATTGTTGAAAAAAAATGTTGAGTAAATAAAAAAAAGAAACCTGTTCTTTACTTCCTGAAAACAAACTGGCGTCAGAAACAAAAAAAAAACAGAGGGTTGCTGTAGCAGAGTTGGTCGCCAAATTTTCGCCAAGTTACCATAATCCAAAGATCAACCGAAATGGGTTTGTAGATCTGCTCATGAAGATATGTATTTAAGTAGCATTTAGGTACTCTTCTGTTATCGTGACCAGATTCACAAATGTATATACACATACACGTGTCTGTATGTGTGTCTGTATGTATATACATGGACACACTTATATACATTTCTGATGAATCCAGTCCCGATAATAGAAGAATACCAGCATTTATTATTTAAATTTGTATATTTACTTATTTTTGTTTCTGTTTTCATAAACTTGCATTCAGTAAAATTATATTTAAATCATTAAAGAAAGCAAAATATTAAAAATAATAATCAAATATATATACCTAATAATAATTTAATATTATACATGTAATAACAAGTGGCAAATCTCATTACTGAATAAAGCCAGTCAGAGAAAAACTATTAATGCTATTGTTTTAAGGATTATTTTTCTAAATTGGCCGATTGCTAGCTTTCTTTTAGGTAACTTCATTTTCGAGTACATATACCTGAACAAAAAGCAAAATATCAATTATGTATAAAAATACATATCTGAAGGTCAAAAAATGAAATACCAAGTAAATATAACATGATTATGGCATAAAAAGCCATAAAACTGTAAAAAATTAATGCCAAGCAAAGAGAAGATATTTTGCTCTTTGGAACTAGAATAAAATGACAGTATACCTAAGATTAACTAACTTTTTCTCTCATTTGCATAATTCTTAATCACAAATACAAATAGAAAAAATATGAACGTATGTGCAGATATTAACATAAGGCATAAAAGGTTCTGAACTGCATAAGGAATCACGTCTTCCCATAGGATTTTAATTCTCTGGCATAAAAGGGAAAACATTTTTTTTCTTACTTATTGTATCAAACAATAACCAGTGAGACATGGATTATAAGAGAAATTTATACATAAATTTTCAGTTCAAAGATACTATTGCGGTCTATGACAAATTTCTGAAATAATTAAGCGATAATCCCTTGTTAAAAATACACAAGTAATTTCAGTTACAACTTTTCCCAGAAAGGCAACACATTTTGCATTTTATATGCATCTTTACAAGACAAATACACTCTCATCCATACAAGTTGATCTGTTCATATAGCTTCAGTCATACCGAGTTCATGTTTGAATTGCATAAATTTCTACAATACCCTGATGCCTCGTGCTCAAAAATATGTATGACAAAACACATGTGGGCTATGCCTTACGGTTTAATCCTAGTATCCGGTGCACACGGGATTTGGCTACTTTATGATGAGTAGCAAAAATGGGACATATACGATGAGTAGTAAACGGGTCATTCAAAGAATATATATAGTTATACATAGTATATAGACATATAAACACATCGGTAAGAAAACATAGGGAATTATTATTTAAAATAAAAATTCATAATGAAGAACTATTCATTGAAAATTCTTTTACCGTTAAAAAGTGCTATAAAAGCAAATACAAATTTTAAAATGGCAAGAGTGATAGAGAATTTATACTTGCATACTGATTAGCCATTCCCTAAATAAACAATGCTAAAATTGGGTTCCAAAAACTCTGAACTGAAACTATTCCGTTTGAAGGTAATAATTCTGAATAAAATGCATATATCATAAAAGAGTACAAATTACTAAGTTCACATACTTTTCAAATAACATTATTGCATTAAATAATACAATATTTTAAAATATTATTCCAGATTATATGTCACTAAATATTATCGAATTTAGCGACTTAAGGTTATTTTAACTGACTGCTGAATACACATGTGTATTACTAAACACAAACATTTTCAACCACTTCAATTAACAGAACTGTATACAAAAGAACTTAACAATTAATAAATTAAGTACTTTATAATAATGCAACACACAGCACAAATTGGATAAATGAGAGAAAACTGCAGGGTGGCCTCAAGAGTTAAGTGCTCAAGGAAAACCACGTGAAAATATAATTAGACAAGAGAATATTTCCTTGACATCAAAAAACATCTTCAAGCAGGATGCCTGGGTGACACATATTGATAAAGTATAATAATAACTCAAGACTTGCTAATCAGTAGACTTACCAGTGGCACAAAAATTTTAGCTTCATAATCTAATGGTTTGGTGAGTTGTTTTTCTTTAGGTTTTTCGAAAAAATCGTCGTCAAATTCAGCTCCGATATCCATGAGAAAATTCTGCCAACATTACAGAAATATTTTACGAACCAAGAATACTTGAATGAGAAGCTGCTGTTTTATCAATTTGTCATAAAATTCTAAACATCAGCAACGGCAAAAACTCAAACGAACACGTTTTCAGAGACTACACTCTGCATATTAACAAGAAAAAATCGATGCAAGGCGTATGTGTATTTTCTCTCCATTTACGAGCTATTAACCTTCAAACTTCGATCGCAGCGACAACGTGCGAAGATTATCCGTTACATTTGTTCTTAAATTTTGAAATTTTTCTTTTAATTTAGCAAAAAGAGAAAAGAAACAAATTTAGTATGGTAAAAATAAATTTTTAGAGGCTTTCATTAGTACTTTATAACTTTTTGGATATGATGTAATACTTATTATTTTTTCATAATAAGGTTGCTGGAAAAAACTTATCCCCTATTTTGTGGCCCAACGAAGTTCATGCTTTGCTAGTTGCCCCTTGATTTAACAGTGCCGTTGTTTATGTTATTAGTTCAACTCATTGCAAACAAAGTGTTCTAACAATGTTTGTGCTAATTATTGCCGACGCACATTTGAAGAATACTATATTAGGTAGATATGCTGTTACCATAATCTGGCTTTCTACCTTGTCTAACTACCATAAACATATCTTTCTACCTGCTCTTACCCACAATCACGACTTTGCCATAACCATGATTTTCTCTTTCTGACCGCACTATGTTCATTATTTCCTAGAGCGAGCAAAAGCCTTGTAGCCTGTATGCACATATAGCACTTTTATTTCGTGCTCATTACTCAATATCGGGGAGAAAAATAATAATAATGTATTTTTAAATTCTTTGTTTGATCATTTCATTTAGAATTTTACATTTGTTATATTGCAAAGAGTGTAATTTTGATATTTTAAAATAATTCTCCTTTCTCCTTAACATATCACTGCTTTGAAGAAATGGTTCGAATGCTTTGTATCATATGTGGACTAAGAGATCTATGCATACAAAACACGTAAATCTATTTCTGTAAAAATGAAGATCTATTAAAATATGGATCCATCTCTATATGCTAGTTTATGATTTATTGTTATGGTAATCTGTGAATTAAAATATGCTGGGAGTGAACAAAAATGCTATGGTGTCAGCTAGGAAACAATGAAAATTTAATTAACAATGTGTAACGACAATTCAATTAACAAACATTTATGTTTTCTGATTAACAAGGACCTTATTTAACAAAAATCTATGAACTGACCGAAGAAATGTTAAATACATTGTTCATCATTATCTGCCGCGAATTGAAAGCATGTTGCACAGCAGCTCGGAATATGCCAGTGCTGTGACGTAGTGTATAACGCAGTGTAACAGCTTTAAATATTATTAAAATCTTGTAGTTTAAACAATTTAAATAGATGAACATTAAGGTATTTGTGAATGGCAATATTTGAAACCAGACTCGAGTGCCACGTGCGACTCTCGCACGAAGAATGTAATTTATTTTTAAATGTTAGAATTCTTTCTTCTTCTTGTTTTGTATGTCGTCATTTTGAGTGCTAAAGTTTTTTTCTGTGTTCCATCATTGGAGTTGCTTCATATTGCCAAAGAAGTATCACAGCAGTTTTCAAGTCAGCTAATTCGCAGTCTGACAATACTGCATACGTCTGTCTGACAATACTGTATACGACAATTTTGAAGTGTCCTCAGAACCAGAAGTCGCAGGTGGTCAGGTGAACGTGGCGATTAGACTGTTGGAAAACGACATCTGGGATCACATTCTTCTTAATCTAAAGACTAATCCTATCATGATATGTATCTCAGTAGTGCATGAAAAGAGCTCCTGTTTTATGGAAACCCACCCAACTCTGTCGAAAAAATGGCTTGTTCAAGAGTATCATCGCAAAGTAAAATACCGTAAGAAATCTATAATAGTCTCCAAAGAGAAAACTTTACACGCATAAACACACAAGAAACACGCAAGTATTCTCCAAACGCTCCCGAAAGCTTAAGTGCGCTCTATATAGAGCTGAAAGAAGTTACATAGAAAGTTGCAGGTAACATAATTAAACAAGTCAGTACCCAATCAATAGGACAAACACAATAAATCAAAGAATATGCTACCACTGAAAAAGCAAAGCAGAGAGAAAATGCGCTACACAGAATACACATAACTTCAAATCTAAAACAGGAGGTTTTACGAAAGTAGAAGAAAATATATAAGAATAAATTATTTGCAACAATTAATTACTGCTTCCCTGACGTTACCCTACAGATTTCTTCCAAAAGAATAAATTTTTCGCAAAAAATAATTACTGCTTTCACTGACGTTTGCCCAAAGATATCTTCCAAGATGTTTAAGTAATATTAATATTTTATCGATAGGCACACACATGCTACAAACCACCGACATTCATCGAGGAATAATTCGAATTATATCAAAGAGTTAAAAGTCTGAAAAAATATTAATAATTTTTTAATGATTTTCAAGAACTCAAAGAATGCTCTTCAATTATTTTCGAATTTTTATTCTGCAGAGTCCACAAACTGTCTTTCTTAGGTTCATTTCTAGAGTTTTAAGTGTTTTTCTGGATTTATTCTTGCCAGAGGCAACAGTTTATGATCTAGCTTCAGTTTAATGCCAGACTTAACAGATTTTTGAGATTCGTTCGCAGATTTTTTTTCATAGTTGTTGCAGGGCTAGCTTCCGAACTTGAATCTGGGCTCTCCGCCTGGGCCTTTTGGTCCCTGATGAATTTTTTCTTTCTGTTAAGTGGATTCTTCGGGCATTATTTGAAGTTGGCTGCATGGCCAAAACTGTTATTGCAACATTTAAAGTTCTATATCCATCTTTACCTCGCATTCAGAGCTTTGGAGGAGCTTACACTCATTCGTGGAGCGGTAGAACTGCTGGTAGCTGTGATGTTAATAGTCGCAGGTAATAGTTCTAATGGTAGAACGGGTGGTAGTATAAAAGATAATAGTTCTATTGGTAGAATTTCTGATAGCTGTGGCATTAAGCCACACCGCTTTTTAATTTATAGTGTCTACAGTCCCGACAAAACACACGAGATTCAAATTTCTTCAGATGCGCTTAGTTCCAAGTTCATTTGCAAACTGAACGCGGAAAGTAGATATTGTTACTGGAATATGAAATACTTTAATAGCATCAAAATCCTTCGAAATTAATTTTTAGATTCATTTTTTTTCCAATTCTTCAAGTTCATGGGCCCTAGTCTGGACACCGTCCAGATAGAAGAACGGGTGGCTTTTTGCGATCTACTCGACAGAGAGCGAGTCTGGTGTCATCGTCTCTAACATTACAAAGATCGACGCGTCGGAAATTTTTCCGTCAGCTGGACAGCTGTCGTTTAAGTTTCTGACTGTCGTTTTAGAGCTAAACTGAGGACGGCGGAGGTCACTGATGGTTTTTGAAAGTGTACGTAATAGATATTTTAATTTCTTAAGATTTGTGAAAAACTCGAGTATTTCGCTATAGAAATAACGCATTTGATGCTGACGATTCTACATTATTTATTTATTCTACATTACCAATGCCTTAATTAAATTAGTTTCCTATTTCACATATAAAGAAGGGGTGCATACTTTTAATTTAAAATTGTAATTTTTAAACTAATGTATATATCAATGTACTTAATTTCATGTTTTGATGAGTAATTTATAAATTTATAAATTTTATGTTTTAAATTATAATGTATTTCCCTCTACTTTTATTTGTAGTGTATAAAAATGCAATACATTAGACATGCATTAAAGAATATGCAGTATATAATTCAAACTATGCACATCCTAAATTCAACATTTACATTAAATTGCTTTGAGTTAAAAAATTTATTTAAGTAGTTTTAACTGTACCGATATCAATGTCAATTTCCCAATAGTTTCTAGAATCTCCTGTATAAAACAAGTTAAATTCCTGTATAATTTTCGGTTAAATTCTTGTCAATATTATAATGCAAGATTTTATAATTAGTTATCAGATTTTTAAATGTGGTCTACTTTTAGATATTACATCAGTTTTTGTGTATATTTTATTCATATAAAAAAGTGCTTAGTTTTGGTTTTATGTAATTTACGGCAAAGTCCTCGAGGGCTATCTGCCTAAAGTGAGGGTTGCCTTCGTGGAGGACATTCTAAGGAAAACTAGCTCGTATCAACAACGTAACACATGGGGAAAAAAACCACGAAAACGTCCATGCAACCAGCCCGTTCGCGGGGTTCCAACCTTGGACCGAACTTTCTAGTGTTTCAGCGATTTTACCGGCCGCTGGTGGGATTGATTTAAGAAGGGTATAAATATATATGTCCTGGAATTTCTTTCACTGCATATGTTAATATATTTATACAGTTATATATATATATATATCATAATAAAAGCAAAGGAAAAGACGGAACACTGTCGATGCGTGATTAGACCCATATTGAAGAAGATTTTGATTGCGTAGTATGCTAGTAATGCTAACTTGGTAATATCTAAAGAACTTGGCATTCGAGGCAGTTGTAATTCCATTTTTATTTGCAACTGATATTTGTGGCCACAATCACTTGGCACTCTAGTCATGCCTTTCCACAGAAGATTTACTTTTTTGATATTGTTGAGATAGAAAGCAAGCCAGAGAAATTACATCTTAGCACAGCACAAAGCAAAAGCTGAAGTATTTAGTTATGAAACATGGAAGCACGGCGAAGAGAAAAGTTTTGGTTTACAAAGGCAGTTTCACTTCCCAATTATTAAGTCATCAGAGCTGCGCGGGCCGTAGAATGATCTAGAAATGACGCAATACAGAGAAGTTATTACGATTTTAGAATAGAGCGGAAGAATTAATGTTTATAGTTATATTAGATAAATCTGATACATATAATTTTATCTTACATATATATACAGGGGTTGGACAAAAATATGGAAACACCTTTAAAAAAACATGTTTCTTTGCTTAATATGGTAATATGGTGTTCCGCGGCACACCAATGTGCCGTCTGAAGCACCGTGGTGTGCCACCGGGTCTGGGTGTCACGGTGCTGTTCGCCCGCTATAACTCCTCCCGTCACTCCCTCCGCCAGTGTCATAGGTGGTCACGGCGCTGTGCAGTGCTATAACTCCTCTCCCTGCCAATCTTGACAAAGTGTCCGCCGTGTCCCCGCCCCGCCCCCCATGAGACGCAGGCAGACGCCTCACACAGTGTCAGAGAG